ATGTTTATACCTTGGGCCTCACTTAGGAACTGGAGAAAGGTTCGAGATCCCGCCAGTTTTTCTGCCGTTGTGAGAAAGAAAACAGACGAACCTCCAACCACAGTTGCCTCCGTCCACCGTAGTAATTGTCCAGTTTTCCATTCTAACAGTCTTCTCTCTTTCTCTCCATCCGACGTCGTAGAGTCAATCCAACTTGCTGGTATCCCTTCTCCGACGAGTAATTCTACCATTTCCTTCACGGCTGCCCTACATTCCTTGAACACGAGCACGTGTTCCAGTACTGGAAAAGAATCCAGAAGCACCGTCGCTAATAGCCTCCCGTCTTTCTCTACTTGTCTAATAGACGCTTGGTTGTAATACTGAACATTAACTTCGCGGTAAGAAATATTTTTCCGACTTTCGAGGACCGACAGTGTCTCGTCGATAGACAAGGACACCTATGGGGGGGGGGGGATATACAGAGGAATGGGAGATCCTTAATTTCCTCCGAGTGCATGTGACGCTCAGCTTCTTCTGACTTCTTAGATGGTTGCACATCTGCATCAACTTCAGAATCTTCTTCTGAACTGGAAGAAGATGGTTTGATGCGTTTTCTTCCTTTCTTTTTCTCTCTCCTCTTATTGTTGTCTTCTTCTCTTGAACTGCTTTTTGAAGATTGAATATACTTCGATCATTTCATGAAATTGCACAAAGTTGTTTGAAATATGAAAAACTTCAGATATATTTTAAGGGGCTGCGTATGCAACCTGCACTGAAAAACACATAAAGCGAAAAACCTTTGCCTCTCATCTATTTTTACACTCATAATTTTGAAAAATATTTTTCAATTAATATGTTTCATATTTTTCTGAAATTTCATGGGGTGATTCACGTAAAATTACAACCATGATTACCTATACGTATTCCTAGAAAACTTTGGTTGAACTGTTGCAATCAAAATTATAAATATACCTTAAAGTCTTAAGCATCACTCGGCTAAAAAAAAGAGGAAAAAGAATAAGCACAGAATTAGGAAAAAGGGTGTTTTTTTTAAAGTTTCGGTTTAAAATTCTTAAGCTGCTTGAAATTCCACAATGAGCATGCGAACCAATATATTTTCCGCCTGATTAACATATTGTATATTTTACGTCAACAAATTTAGTGCCTGAAAAATTGCAATTCATCGCGATTCTATCTCGATTTGAGGTCATAACAGATTATGCAATCTGCATCACATGTTTTATTGCAACATACCCCTTTGATTCCAATATGTAACGCTCTTATCGCAGAATATAAGTGTTTAGGGGTTGGTGTCTTTCCGTTTTTCAGCATATTGACGGTCCCCATTCACTGCATACCAACCGGCAACATTCGGCAACCCCTGCGAAGTTGTTTCCTGGCAGTGGCGTGGCTTGCTTTCCGATTTATCGATTGATCTGTCATTTGAGCCTATGGTGAAGAATCGATAACCAAGGTGTTCGTAACGAACACCTTAATAATCGATTCTTTACTATAGCTTCAAATGGGGAAATATCGATAATCGATTGCTCACGCCACGCCACTTTAAATTCCTGAGTTAAGTCCACTCTTGAGTTTGAGTCGACGATGCCCCACTCACAGGGTAAGAGGTCTAGCCAGCTCAGTATGGACATCGGATCGCCCAACCGGGGAGCATGATTGGGGGTATTCAACAGGAAGGGGCCTGGTAAATACCAATCATGTTCCACGAGGTTTCAACTCCGATAAGCGAAGACGGTGGGTGGAGGAACACCGCCAACGTGCCTATCGAGCATCGTTGGGGCCTGCATAAATATTATCGGCATTGCAGCAGGAATGTTGCTGGCGTTGACGGACAACATTTTACAAGGATACCAATTAAAAAAACGATTTCCGCTTGTAGGAATGTTGCCGGCGTTGACGGACAACATTTTACAAGGATACCAATAAAAAAAACGATTTCCGCTCGTAGGAATGTTACCGGCGTTGACGGACAACATTTTACAAGGATACCAATAAAAAAAACGATTTCCGCTTGTAGGAATGTTGCCGGCGTTGACGGACAACATTTTACGAGGATACCAATAAAAAAAAACAATTTCCGCTTGTAGCAGGTACAAGGTGTCATCCCTCTTCAATGCCACCCTACTGGAAATGGGGATAATTAGTTTCTGATACTTTCTACAGTTATGGAGAGCGTTTTTTATCGTTCTCACAATTTTCGTCGACGAGATTAAATTCTGGAACGTATCCTCCGAGGATCGGAGGATTTCTCTCCGCGGGTCCAATTTAGAAAAAAATATTTAATGTTTGTGAGGTACGCTAAGCGTCCCGAAATCCTCGCTGAAGGGGTTTAACAAAACCGCCCCTTCGGGACCGTTCAGATATACAACGCAACTATCGGCAAGGAAATCGGTACCCTGTAGACAGACCTCGATGCTCGTGTTATAATAAAAACCCCACAAAAATGAGGAGTATCCGTTTTCAAAACTCCTATTTAACGAGTCTGAAGGAATGACAAAGGAAGGCCTTTTGGCGCTCGCGTCCGCTCTCCTGTTGAAGCTCACGAGCCTTTGCAATTTTTGGCCCAATTCCATTTGTCTGCAACAACATTTCAACATGATTAAAATTAGGAAACTGGATTTGCTTGTTAAATATGTTCTTGTCACTATTGTTCGAGCTCCCGGTTCTGAGTATCCAGCTGAAAAATACCTTTCCTTACTGATAAAAGGGTTTTATTTCATACATCTATCTTTATTCATCCTATTTAGTTAAACGTTGTTTTATTTCTCTCGTGTAGGTATTTTTCAGCCAGAGCACAATTCCATGGACTTTCACCTTCTCTTCACATGGTTGCAAATTTACAACAATTATTCTTTTTCTTATTTTTACCCCAAACAACAGTTACGAGCCAATAGGCACGTTTTCGAGGAATCTCCCCGTTCCTTTTCTCCGCACTCAACTTTTCGAGGAGTTTTTTATCTTCACGATCGAAAGCTTCGTCTGACAGTCGGTGCGAAATCTATGAAGCACTTTTGCTCCGTGAAAACGAACCCCACGTTTTTCTTGGCAGAGGATTCCTGCTATTGACTGAACGACGAATGTGACATGGGAATCTGAGGAACATTATTAATGGATTTTTCATTGTAAATTCCTTTCTTTCAATGGTTTATTGATGTGAACTAGACTTGCAACATCAAGCCGAGGCACATATTTAGGTTTGTTGCCACGTTGGAATCGTGGCATAGCCTCGAGCCATGAAAAGTCGTCCTTACAGAGGGAAGTAACAGAGGTGTGCTGTGCCGTATATAATCAAATCATTTATTAACGACAATCAGATAGTAAATTATATCACATATACTATTTACATTTACAGACATTTTATTGCGTACAACCGTAAGTACTTATTAAAGTAATTCGACAATAATTGTACATGATGAATTTTACAACGGCAAAATTTGAGGTCAGTTTCGGTGCAAGATCAATTTTAACTGTCCTTGGTAAATCAGCAGAACAGTCAATCTAGGGGTAAAAAAAACATCCAATCGTGACTTGCCCCCTTGTCCTTTTGCCCCCCAATGAAGAATCTCCAGTTTACGGACAGCTGTATACAGTTGAAACTCTACATCTTTGAATGTTCGTACTGCACGCGACGAAAATAATGAATAAAAAAAAATGAAAATAAAAAATATTAAAAAAATAAAAAAAGATCTTCTTTAAAATTAGTTTGAAAACAAATGTAAAACCTAAAAAATAATTTTGTATGAAGATTAAAACAAAATTTTAGTTTAAAGTTTACTAAATAAAATTACAATCTTTGAAAACATTTGTTATATTTATTCTCTCAAAAAAATAATTAGACCCGATTCAAAGACAAAACAGAAAATTAAATGAAAATAAATAAAAAAAAAAAAACCATGTGAAAGTGAAAAGTGTACAGGAAAAATAAGGGGCTGCGAGGCAGCCCCATAAGCCCCTAGTATGTTTTAACGGAATAGTTAAATAAATCATATGCTTCAGTATTCTTGAAGATAATTTTATTAGCCTTTTCAAGTTACGGGTCGGTGTGAAGTTCACGTTAATACACGATGACACTCAGAACATCTCTCTTTGAATCAAAAAGATCATTCATTGATTGTTTTCTCCCAAAAAATTCAATCTTTTTTTTATTTAAAAAAGTCAGCCTTTTCAAAAATACTTGTCTTGTGGGCGGCACCCCGATCATCAGAATCATTGATATTCTTGTTGGGTGACGGTATTAAATTGTGTAGGTCTTCTATTTGCTCGCTGAGTGTCAGAAATGTTTCCACTCTCCATTTTTTAGATCCGTTTGACACATAAAAGAAGGACTTTGGTATAGGATTCCGCGCTTTGTCGCAAGCTTTGATTACGATCTTCTAAATGAAAAGCGTTCAAGTTAACTAGTCTTTGTTGGCTTGTAGGGCCATACTGGAGTGCGCCCCGAAACATTGCTTTTGAATGAAGGAAATAACTGAACACTAACTGATGCTTAATAGATAATGTTTTTGGCGTATTAATTCTAGAAGTGATTGCAGCAGCAGCCATCTTAAACTTTTGATGCTTTCCTTCAAATCGCATACACCAAAGTTTTATAAGCGGACCGAATTTTTCTGAAAAGGAATGATAATGTACCATCATGTGGTGTTTGAAAACAAGATGTGATTTTGAAAGTTTTAGATAGCGATGATGATGTTCTTTCGCCAGTACTTTTAATAAATCACTACACACCTTCTGCAACTCCGAGGCCATTTAGATATCGACAATATCTCTGAATATTAAAAACCACTCCCACACATCATCATTAGACGCAACATAATTACCCAATATGACTGGTATGTATTTTACTAAAGTGATCATCTCTGATGCCGACAGTTTTATGGAGTCCCTTTTGAATTTTTTTGTCTTATTAAAAGGTTTACTTCGCGAATCAATCGGTCCGTAAGTAAATACATTTTAGCACTCATTTTTTAAAGAGAGAACTGATTACCAGTTTATTTCCTTCATTTTCGAGAAAGGCCAAGACCTTTTTTGGCCAGTGACCTGTGTGCAAGAGCCTTGGCTGAGAACGAGGGTGCATTTGGAATTTATTTATGCATAAGGCTTAACTATAAATTCTTCTTTGGACAAAGTTTATTGTAAAGGGCAATTAAGAGATTCTGGGGGAGGGGGGGGCAGCAAATTTTTTACTAGATTCTAGCGTTTTGGGGCCATTTCCCCCCCTTTCGGTCATCGTATCGTGTCGAACTTTTAGTTTCTTGTTTAGGTATAGTATAACTAGAGATTTCCGCAAAAAACCTTTTGTTGCTATTTATTCCGGGTCAAACGCTATTTTGACCTGACTACTCAATAAAGGTTCCTCTTTATTCAAATATTTATGTTCCCATTGAACGGTTCCTCATCCACGTGTGGAACCAGAGACAAGGAACTCAAGGTATGGTATCTCTTCAAATGATTGGGAGGGGGACAATTTATATTTTTTGCCCTTCGGTCGTTATCACTCCGATGGCGACCAGTGTATTTCTTCTTCTTCTTGTTCTTCTTCTTTTCCCCTTGTTCAGCACATTTTCTTCTTTAAATGTCACAGCGGATACTCTGCTGGCATCGGCGTGCCTTTCAAAGCAGCGACGATATTCTCAGCAGCGCGGAGACAGGCGTCATCTATTGATTTGGCAGTATCGCTTCCAATATGCGGCAGGAGAACTGGAAAAATATCAAAGGTGGCTTTAGCGTATGACCTGAAGAGCAAAATAGATGTGTGCCAATTTCGATCCTAACTATATTTTCACCGTCAAAAGTTTCAATAGAATAAGTAATGTTTTTGATCCTAAAATTTTAACCATATAACTTCTGACATTTTTTCGAGGACACAGTAAATGTGGAAGGAAAGTTTTGAGCTTTTTCTTACCTTTGAGTGAGTCTATTTCGTGAAATTTCGGCCAATATTTATATATTCGATGTTTTGGGAGGGAGAGGGTTGATTATCTACTGAACTTCCGAAATTTAGTTTTCACTAATCTTTCTCAATTTCTTTTGATGCTCCTTCAGTAAACATTGTCGCCGCGGCCAGGTTGGCCTAGTGGTCAGCGCGTCTGACTCTAGGTCAATAGGCCCCGGGTTCGAATCCCGGTGATGGCGTCTAATTTTCACGGAATTGACGAGTTGATCTGCTGAAACAGATTCTCCTCGGCCCTATAATCCCCGAACATTTGAAAAGCCTGGAGTATGAATATCCCACGATGTCCACGGACACTAAACAAAGTTGGCTGAAGGTGCTGGACACGAAGTCATTAAACCAGCAGAAAGAGAGAAAAAAAACATTGTTTAGTTGAACTACGAAGGTCGTCAATATCTCCTAAATCAAGATAGATTAAGAAACTCTGTAAAAAGCGTTAAAGAAGCCACTACTCTCAGCTTTCTAACGCGCTTTAGATTTTTAAATTTGGTTCAACAAAACTCTAGAAGAGTGGTTCTCTCTGAATCTACCTCCTCTCCGCGCGAGTTCAAAATTTAACGGAGGGCCATCAGCAAATGAGCCACTGGGTCAATCGCTGATCGCATGAAAGTGGCTTAGAGGTGGTTGAACACCATGTGAAATTAGAGGAAGCACAGTTCTAAATCAGAAAATTGCAGGCTCATTCGATATTATAGTGGGTCTGAACTGCAGTACGTGAAAAGGTTAAGCTACAATTGGTTAACTCGTGGAGTTGTGCCGGCTGAATTTGGTTTCGGTGTGTGAATGAACCACTAGACAAGGCACGAATTTCAGCATTCTGATACATGTTTCTTAACTAAAATTTTGCATAAAATACGACGCACACAACGAAAATGATCGAAATCAACTCCTTCCACAGATATTTAATGATTCTTGATGCGTGAATTCAAACCACCCGTTCATGAAAACTCAATGCTCTGCGTGATTCACATCGTGCGCTAAACGTTATCATGACAGTCTCTGCGATATAAAAATCTGGCAACCTCAATCTTGACGCTTTGGCTCAGCAGTAGCAAATTGCTTATAGTTTGAACAGCACATGGTGGGAAATGAACATCGATTGAGAAGATTGCTGAAACCGTTGTAGTGCGCGATTTGACTTACGTAGAGCTTTGAGTTTCTTGTGAGCGGGCAGTTCAAATTCCTCGTAACCGAAGTGTAATAAAAACGTTAATATCTTTTTTAAGAGTGGGATTTCGTAATTTTCGTCGTGTGAATAGTGTTTTACGTGAAATTCTAGTTAAGAAACATGTATCAGATTGCTTAAATTCGTTCCTTGTCTAGTGGTCCATTGCGCTCTATAATTAATTTTCTAACCAAGAAAGGTGAAAAGCTGCTTAGATTCATACTAATTTGCAGTAAAAATGTTGTAAATGTTACATATTTTTCAAAATGATGCATCTTTGACGAAATTTTTTCGAGCTAGGGCGGAGCAATGTGAAGCCCTATGAACAAATCCGCCAGTAAGTGAGGGTTAACGCTGAAAATTCGGTTAACTTCAGTTCGAAGACAACTGAGTCTTAAGTATACACAATCAACTCTGCTACTTCCTAGCTGATTAATGTTGTCTCTTATATTTCACATGACTTTCGACCATTTTTAAGCCTCTTTTTTGTGATTAGCGGTAGATACAGCTCTCGCAGCAACTCACTTGCTGAGGACGCCCCGTGAAATTTTGGACCCACTCGGAGAGGAGGTGGGTTCAGAAAAATCCACTTGTTTAGAGTATTGTTGAGCCTTTAAAAAACTACAGCGCGTTAGAAAGCTGAGATTAGTGGCTTTTCATCGCTTACTACAGATTTTCTTTGTCTATCTTAATTTAGGAGATTGGATATGTAAAATTATTTTCTGGACGAGCCTCGTATCATTAAAGTTTCATGAAAAAACATCGTATTGGTCATGCAGGCTTCAGTTATGAATAAAATTCATTTGGTTTCAGATATACCCAAAAATTCTACGAGGCAGTTTGAAAATTTGAAAGTTATAACGCCCCGGTTGCAATTTCCATCGTGTGGAGAATTGCCGTTGTTGAATCGTATTCTATGACCTGAATTGATAAATCCTTATCGTATCCATTCATCCATCACGGTAATTTGACAACAACTTAATAATCCAGGCGGCGCAGAATACAATGATCTATTTTTTGGACTGAACATTTGCCTATTCGTCTAATTGAAGGCTTACTGCAACTACTACACTCTGTGGCCAGTGTGAAACCTGGCCCAATGTATAGTGCGGAGCGACTTCATTCGCCTTCAATCGAGCGGGTTGACAAATACTCAGCCTGCTATTCAAAATAATGGCGTATTAATGGATCGGCATGAGTAGACAACTCCTCTCCGTAGAGAGATTGTTAATGGTTTCCATTGTGATGAGATAGGTTTAAAGACTTGGCATCGTAAAACGGAGACTTTTCATAAAACTGAAGTAAAAGTAAAATCGTTAAATTTTGAAGACAGCGCTTCACAAGAAATTATAGTCAATCGATAGAGAGCAAAATACAAATTACTTAAGACTACACGGAAAAAACAAGACTAGTGTTGAGCACTACTGGCCGTTTAGTGGGGAGTAGTTGAGGGCTGGCGTCTAAGCGCTGTACAGCTCAACACCGGAAGGCAGTACAGGTGGGCACTGAACATGAGTAGTGCTAATCAGATGCCGCGAGACGTAGTTGCGCTTAACAGGTGTAAATTCACCCTTGAGACGTCGGAGTCACCATAGCCTGGTGGTAACGCGCTGGTCTTCCTCCGGCGCGATCCGAGTTCGATCCCAGGCGGAGGCGTTTCATATTTTACGCTCGCTCCAAAGTCACTTTAGGGCTTGACACTACTTCTTCCTTAGTGACCCAGCCTCGAGCTGTTTAGTGCCCAGCACTCCTCTGACTTGGTGGCTCCATTTGACCTAACCCTCGTTAGTGTCCAGCACTAACATGCAGGTCCCAACCCTAAGCTCGTTTTTTCCGTGTATGAAATTTGGGATTTCGCAAATTTCAAGGTTATTTATTTCAAGATCTTTTAAGTTTTAAAGAACCAATATACCGCCGTAATTGAGTCAGAAAAATCAGTGTAAAACTACAAGGCACTCCTATGCTTACCGCACAAACACGCATTATGCACCGTATGCTTTGTTCCACCAAGTTGATATGAAGTTGAAATTTTGGTTGGTCATTTTATCGGGCTTGATTGATAAGGGTTTTGTACTCACTTTTTCTTCCCGATGGAGATAGATGTTTTACTTTCAAGCGATGCGCATTTCGAGCTTTACGCTCATCTTCAGGCTACAAATAGAAAACTTGTACCGCGGCGCGGATACGCGTCAAACAACGAAAAACTAAAATACGAGCGCACAACCGCACATTTGACCACTATTGCTAAAATTGTTTAAAATTTTTAAAACGTATATAAATTGGTATAAAAACGGCCGAATTACGAAAGCAACCGGACCACGATCGCGTTATCACTGTTGTGTAATCACCTGAGCTGGACGCGTGTGATTCCGCGGCGGGGCTAAGGAGGGGGGTAAAAAGTTTGATGGTGGGTTGATGATAGTATTTCTAAGAAACCTAACGGCTGGCCGTAAGAGGGTGCATGTTTTAGTAATGACTGGATTCCTGCTAAAAGTTTCACCTTCTTATTAAAATCTAAACGTATATACATCTTAACTAACTTTTTTACATCTATACGGTAAGAGCGCCAATTATACAATGATAGAGTTGGACCATTGACTTGATCAGGGGCGTACCTGATGCACTGTACAAAGGAAGGGAAGCCAGTTCCAACGTAAATATTTACATGCGTTGACACCACAATAGGCACTAGGCCACACTCCAACTGATTGCTAGAAGTGAAGGGTGCTTTACGCTTACGAGTTCTCGACATCTGAGAGGCGCTGGCATCAGATGTCGAAGTCAGTTTGGGGCTACACCCGAGGATGGCACAGCTCCTGTCCCGTATGCAACGGCTGGATCAATTTCCATTGAGTTGGCTGGGATAACTGGGCGGCCAGGAGGGTGAGTCGTGGGCGCAGTACTTCGTGGCGCCCGAGTTAGACCGGGAGGAGGTACAAAGTGCAGGACAGCAGTAGAAGGCGGCACTTTCGAGCACAGGATGTAGCCTCTACTATATTGTGGCCCCAGGGGTAGGTTGGTCAGGTTCCATAGCGGGCCAGGACCAGCCGCGGCCTCTGCAAGGTAAGGGGCATACAACATAGTATTTTCCCATAAGTACGATTGGTACGTACAGGGCTCAAATATGTGGTGCCCAGGCATCCAAACTGGAGGACGCGGGTGGGCAGCCACTTGACCCGGAGCAGTCCGACCAATATTGTCCCACTTAAATTCCTGATATCCGACAGGGAGAGGACCAGCTGGGAGCATATTTTGTAATGCCTGTCCTATGGCGTTCATGGCTAGGAGTGCGTAAGCTACATAGGCATATGGTTGGTCACCAACGCGCAGGGACTTAAAGAGGGGCTCACCATTTTGGCAGTACCATGCATGGTCAATGGGGTCACCACGGATAACAGTCTCTTTGGTAAAATCAACTGTTGCCTGATGATCAATGATGCCCCATTTAGCAGGTACCAGGTCGAGCCAGCCCAGCTCGAAATGCGCATCGCTTGAAAGTAAAACATCAATCTCCATCGGGAAGAAAAAGTGAGTACAAAACCCCTGATATGAAGTTGTTTGCCAGCGAGTAGATACTGCTTTGCATTATTACCGTAATTTTTCAGGATTCAACTTAAATTGATGTTTGTTCTCAAAGGATTGATTATAAATGCTTTTGAAAATGACCTATTCCCTGTATTGCTCATTACTTACCGCAATTATCAAGCTTCTGCAATGGGTGATCTTGAGGTAGTGGTTCGGGTGACATGACGTCTAGACCAGCACCAAGAATTTTCCTTTGTTGAAGGGCAGCAACCAGAGCGTCTTGATCAACCAATGCTGCAAAAAAGTAGTCCTTTATCAAAAACCATTAACGAGAGTGGAAAAATTGAGCGGTTCTGATGGAAAAGAGATCCACGAAACTCCTAACGCTATTATGCCAAAATATATCAAAACGTTTTTTCGATCTTCGAAACTTTTTTGTCATAACTATATACTCATATTTTGATAAAAGTGAGAGACTCCCCCAGAGGTTTAAACTGATGGTCGTTTCGAGGTACAAATTAAAACTCCGATTTTGGTCTTAATAATGGTCAAAAAATGAGGGCACTTACTTTATTGCTCCTAATTTCTTTTGGATATTCGGTAAGTAATGATAGCAAGTAATTGTTGACATGTTTTGATATTCGGAATATTGGGAGCTACCATTAATAAAAATTGTCTATTATGTGATTCACGTGAACGGGTTTTTTAGCGTCAAGTGCATACAATGGCGATTCTTGAAAGGAGGTGTATCGATAAGGGCCTCCCCCTTCCCCCCAGAATCTGGAAATTTATGCGGGGTTTCCAAGTTGACTTAATGTATTTTACAGAAATAATCATGATTTAGTCCATAGGCCACTGGATACGTGTTAAACGGTTGCCTAAACTTAGGTCTGCGGGCGTATTTTAGCGAAAAATCGTGTTTTTCTATCACTCCGCGGTTTTTTTGACACCGAGCGCATCATCTAACTGAAAAGAGCTTTTGATATGTTATTAAGGAGACTTTAGGACACATTTTAACCCCGATTTGGTTTTAGTTAGAGAATGCGCCCATAGTTAGAAAAAACTTTTTCAAAAATCGACTTTTAAGGAACATCCGCAAAAATCTTAGGAAAACACGTCTACCGAAGTGTATACACGCTACGTATGAAAACGCTTTTCTGAAAGTTATGGAGACATATTTTTAATGATTGCATTTCTCGATCATGAAGTAGGCGAAACACTTTTTTGGGAATTTCAAGTCTCTGATAGGGTTTCACGAGACTAAAAATGAGCAAAACTCTACGGAAAAAGACCGGAAAGGGATATGACAGAAGTTTAAAAATTGAGGAGGAGAAAGGAAACGATAATTTCTACCCATATGCATTCTTCCTCACTCCTCGTCGTCCTCTTTTTCTTCCTCATCACCACCATCATCGGACCACCCGCTCCCCATGCGCTGAGTCTTGCAGAGCCTTTTCGTACTCATCAGAAATGCGTTTACTGCGCTCTCCCTCGTTTAAGTGGCGGTGATATCCGAGGTACCATAGCACAGAGGCAACATGTGCACAACATCCCACAACTCTCGCTCCATTTTTGCATTGACAATACCATTCCGGAATTCCGGATGCGTGGTACTGTATCCACAAGGAATACTTTTTTGATGACTTGTGACGACTTTGCACTAGAACTCGCACTACATCATCACACTCTTTGTGGGTATAAAGTTTATACCAACCATCGTCAGCTTCATGCTCTGCTGTATAGGACCGTGCTTGTTTAAGTTGGTACACTACCATGGTGATCTGACGAAGTTCGTTGATGGTTAGGGAGGAAAATCATTTAAGCCACTTGCTTCCATTTCTTTCCATACAGTTCTTGCTCTGGTCCAGTTCTCCTTTAGCACTCTTGCCTGTATTTTATTAGGAGTCTTGGATAATCGCAACATTCTGTGTGCAATTATTTTAACATCCGCATCTTCACTTATTCGCGGTGGCCGAAGTGCGTTAAGTATGCTACAAACAACGGACGTAATCTCCTATGAAAGGTGTTTGCGAGTTGGGCATCGTATGGGACAATGCTTTAAAAGTTTTGATTGCACCATTGACAGCTTCACCTACCCATTTAAGTGCTGACATAAAACAGCACTTAAATATATTAAATCTTTAAATAAAAGAAAGATACATATCAACCATTAGCAATAAAGAAGGAGAGGTAGAATAATATATATATTAAGCATTAGCAATAGAGAAGGAGAGGTCAACAGTCACGAGTCTTGATTCGTTGGCTTCTTCAGTTGTATGCTGACTCTTTTTTTGGTCAAAAAAATGCGGCATTTTTACTATCAGATCCATACCTTCTAGTAACTGTACCGAATCCCTTAAACCACGATCGACAACAATGACATCATTTTCCTCTAGCCACGATTTCAATCCTCCAGCGCACGTTGTCATATGAGACGTGATTATAGCTTCATCGTTATTTTTCCCGTCTGCAAAAAAAGGACCGAGAACCTCCAAAATATGATCTGTTGTGCTTATGGCTTGATCAGAGGGCGTCCTTTGTGCATGGAATATGTTCTTCGTTGAAACTTAAAATTGCAGCTTTTTTCGATGTAAACATCTGTTCCGTCTACAACAATAATAGCTCTGTCTTCTCCATCAGCGAAAAGAGACTTTGAAAATTCTGTCGTGTTGTGCTTGATGAAATCCGACCTAGATGTATGACTTTAGCCAAGATTTTTGGGCACAAATTCAGTCATGAGAACTTTACGAGCGGAATGCACACTTCGCTGGATGACAGATTTTGGAACTGCAAATAAAGTAGACAGAACGAGGAATGATAAGCCAGTTCGTAATTTCATTAGAAAAATAGCAAGGCAAGTGCGAGTGCTGCGCTGTGAAGTATTACGAAGATGCTTTTCTATGGAGCTGAGGATGATATCAAATTGGTTAATGGTCACACCTGTTAGGTTCCAGTAATCCTGAAGGTTTAAAACATCAGGCGTATCAAAGTCGAGGCCTTTGCGAGATGCAAGAGACCGGACACCGTGAAGCAGTTCTGTCATTTCCTTGACATTCAGGGTACATTCATCCGATTTTCTCTCAATAACAATATCTGGTTTCAAATATTTTAAATCAACATAATCTGTACAACAACGCGAATCTTTAGGAATAATATAGCCGTTATCAACAAAAAACTTACATCTAGACTGAGCAGAAGTCCGGGTCAGGTTTTTAGACTGTCCGCAAACCACGCACTTTCTATGAGATCCAGAACATCTTCCAACTTGAAGCGTTAATTTTTTCTCTAAATCACTCCCTTTCTCACTGTTTTTGCTGGATGAGGCTTCATTGGATATCAACAGGAATTTTCTTTGATGTAACATTAATGGTAGCCGCGGGTTTTGGAAGTCGGCACTTTTTTAGCTGAAGGGCTTTTTACAGGAGACACTAGATAACACTTTTTGCAAATCTCACTATGAAGAGCCAAAAACGGGGTTTTTTTTCTTCAATAATTTGAGGAGATGGTCACTTGTAACGCGTTTTAATTTTGACCTAGGTACGACGCGAGTTCCGCAAGCGGCACCATCATGATTCCTTGGGCATTTTGCCATCAGCAGTCACTTTTCTCCACTACAAAGATCGAATCGAATCGAACCGCACTCAAATCGCGCACAAAACACACAGGTGCAGAATGAAAAGTTGGTACGAATCAAATCACTTCGTAGAGAAACAAAAACTTTTAACACACCAAATTGGATCACGAAATCAATTAATACAGTCAAAGTAGGCTGAGCGACACGTACTGAGGAAGCTCTAGAAAAACATGCAAAGATACAAACCATCAAGATTACCCGATTTTCACTCAGATGACTGTATTCATTCACGATCATGAGATTTAAAGATGGGACCATCACACAACCATAATTATTGCACGCGATTGGTGATAGCGATAGGTGATAAAACGACTCACTGTTAGACAACTCTAAAATGATGAGATTTAGAGTTTGGCGAATCATATTCCATTTCTGAGAGAAAAACGTAGATTTTTACTTACTTTCAGTCTCGTGAAACCCAATCAGAGACTTGAAATTCCCAAAAAGTGTTTCACCTACTTTATGATCGAGAAATGCATTCATTAAAAATATGTCTCCATCACCTTCAGAATCCGTTTTTTTAACAACCATCTTTCCACTAAAGATCAGTTTAATGGGATATGTCAAAATTTTGAAAAAAAAATCGAATTCGAAAAAGGCTGAGGTATAATCTTTTTCATTAAGTCAACTTAGAAACCCCGCATAAATTTCCAGATTCTAGTAGGAGGGGGCGGCAAAAAAGGCCCTTATCGATACCCCTCCTTTGGCAGTACTGGGCTTTTAATTAAAATGTAAAGAAAAATCAATAATTTTCAAATTCAGTTGAGATAGGCTATACATCCAATTAAGAATCGATTACTTTTAACAGACACAAAAAATGTGGAACGGGAACTTTCACAAAGAACTTAACTCTGAGGCTTCTTAATCGTATCTTACGTAGATTCCTTATGAAGATAGAATTCTATTGTAAATACTGCTATGTTCACGGAAATAACAACGTAGTTCGAGTCCTAAACTTTTGAAGTAAAATAGCGCCACTCCAGGCAGCAGGGCTGAAATCTGCCTGTAGGGATAGATCTTAAAGCTGTCGTGCTCAGCACTGCTGTCTGTAGTTGGCACTATTTTACTCTAAGTGTCAGGGCTCAGCACTAAGTTGTTTTTCCGTGTTCATGAGAATGTAGGATCTGTATATATTTACGTACCACCCCTGCCGGTGTTTATGAAGACGGCATTCTCTTTCATCAAAGCGATTTTGCTCCTACTGATGATACCTGTAGTTTCGGGCGTCAGAGCTAGCGTGAGAACTACAAAATCGCAAGACTTAAGGAGCGTATCAAGATCTGTGTAGACGGCTCCGATAGCATTCCCTGATAGTCAAAAAAACAATTGAATTATTTGTTTATTTTTTACGGTATTTAAATGAGGAAGATCAACTCTCCATTTCTGCCTAGCTGTAAGTTGAAGGTATAATCTCGCAGAAGGGCGGCTCTTAAAATATGGAACTTTCTACCCCTCGCCTTTATCCTCCTTTTCCCCCGTACCGCAGATCTATAGCTCTTTAAAAATTACGTAACCCTCCCTAAAATCGCTCCTCCTAACTGGAGAAATACCATCGGGAAACCGTAGTTAAATCAAATAAGCGCATCTGATACATTCCTAATATTACCGAAGGATTCCTCCCAAGATTTGACTATGGTTTAATTGCAAGTATTGATTTATGAATAAATTCGTCACCTGTCGGTTTGAGTCACAGGACAATCTGCGTGGGTCTGTATTTGATGTATTTTGTATTTACTACTGAGTGAACTTAACACGAGGATATCCTTGGTTCATTAAGTAAACAATAAATATTGGAGCAGCTATGAGAAATGATCTCATCTGCCGAAATACATATATTTAGATGGAAAATGTCGCCAGATAACGTCTTCGAGTGGTGTATCTTAACACTTTCAAATCTATATCAGAAGAAGTTATTAAATACTGCGAAATCAGCTCCTTAAGCACTCTAGGATAAAGCGATGTATAATTTGCGTGCAAATCTCCATTTTTGGCAAAATAGAATGCGCTCTTCAACATAACCTCACGACCTCTTGTTCCCATTAAACATTTTGCGAGCAGAATAATATCAATGAACTTACTAAATAATTAATCAAAACAAAAATTGAATCATTGAGTTCGAAAACACACCAACTCGGGTTTTTTCCGATTTTCACTTTTTTACGGTTTAGTTACACTTATGGATAGAAACATCTACACGCAAAAGGAAGTTTCGAAATTGCAATCGGAAGTGCTCGAAACAGCGACGGGAAAAGAAATAAATCGAATTATTCCATTGGAAATACCAATTTTCGGCCATTTCAAGGGAAACGGGTGACCATCCGATTTTGCGGTTTTCTTTTTTCGGTTCAGTATACCTTGTACCAACAAGTTACCCATATATTCAAGCGTTATTCAGGTCGAAAAATATACACTTTTCAGGGCAGACTATGAAAAATCAGTATCTGAAAGTCGGTGAGAACGAAAACACACAAATTCGGAAATTTTTAAACGCTTAATTCTCTGTCATCAAACATGATGTATCGATTTCAACTTGGTGCTTCACAAAGCCTCTAAGTACTTGTCCTTTGGCACCAAAAAGGTTTTTCTTAAACTATCTTCTTCGCCCGCTGCGCAGTTTTAGGTGTTTCCTGAACAATTTTTTTTCCGAGTTGGTGTGTTTTCGAACTCGCTGATTCAATTGTGGATGATGACATGCCAATCTCGCTCCAGTCCGAAGAGGTTTGTCGCTCCACTGCCGTACGAGCGTATCTCAATTTTCATGTAAGCCCTGTTCGCCGTATAACTGTGTTTTTTGCGGCTCATGTGGAAACATAGTTACGACTTTACGTCAGAGGAGCGACGAACTGAACTCACTCACCGTTTGGCTTTTCTTTTCTACTCGTGTAGAAGATTCGCCTAGGAGAGAAGCTCTTCAGCTTCATCGCAACCGAGTGTCCTATTTTACCGTATCCAATGATACCAACTGTTGAGTCGTGCAATCCCTGGCCGCAAAGCCACCTGAAGGATCCTCTGTTGGTAGTCCACCTGTCACTGAACAAATACACGTATGAAGGTATTATATTAAATGTACATAAGCAGAAGTCAGCGAAATAGTGACTTGCATTTATGGAAAAATGGAACTCTTGCGAACTTGCGAACTCTTTTTGCGGTCATCACCTTATGGCATCTAGAAAAATCATGATATCGGCTCATAATTATTGAGGGAAAAACGAGGGGGAAACCGGGAAACAAGACTAAAATACTATAATGAAACATTCGAGACGTTTCGACTCAAAACTGAATCATTTTCAGTCAGAATACTACAATAAATATTGAAAAATATCGATGAAAAAACCCGAGACCAACATGTTGGTGGCCTAAAAGACTTAGTTTTGAGTCGAAATGTCTAGGGTGTTTCACTGTAGTATTTTAGCCTTGTCCCTCCATCCCCCTTGTTTTCCCCTTGTTACCATTGTCTCAGGCTGCTTCGTAAAAATGTGTACCTCATAATCAAATCGAGTCGTGCGAAGATCGCTAAAATAAATTTTTCCAGGCTCCAGTTTTTTGTGTCGATAATACCTTTCAAGGGTTGATATCTTGGAAGTAGTGCAAGGACTCGTTTTGGGATTATAATAACCGTACAACAACACTGGAAACATGCACTGGTGCCTACAAACCTAAGTGGTTACCTCACGCACTTCGCAATGCTTGAAGTATCCCCTTAGGTTTGTAGGCGTCAGTGCGCGTTTCGAGCTGGCAGCGGCAGCACGCGGCGCCACAGCGTGCCATAAACTTGCCCACAATAAATACACTGGAAAAAAACACATCTAGAGTCCAGACTCTTTAAAACTCTTTAAAACATCGACAAGAAAAAAATACTCTTGATTCAACCAGATTTAAACTTAAATCAAGAACCAATCCTCTTAATTTGAGCGGATATCCTTTTGACTCAAGCTTAAATCTGATTAAATCAAGAGTCCTTATTCTTGTCAATGTTTACAAGAGTCTGGACTCCAGATCCAATGTGTTTTTTTCCCCAGTGCATTGTCTCAGGCTACTGCGTAAAAATTCGTACCTCCTCATGAAATCGAGCCGTGTGAAAATCCCTAAAATAAATTTTTCCAGGTTTTAGTTTTTTGTGTTGATAATACTTTTCAAGGGTTAATATAAATTTGAAAGTGGTGCAAGTACTCGTTTTGGGATTATAGTAACCCTAAAACAAGCGCAAACACGATTTTCATGGTTGCATCTTTCTCTGGAAAAATAGAGATCAGTGGTTGTCGCATGACACGATTTAATCGGGAGATCGTAATATCTTAAAATAATATCAAATGAAAATCCTTACCTCTTCACCGCCGCTGAAGCTTCAACTATCCTTCGCGAAGTTGCCAAGAGTAAAGCAACTGTGAGCTCAGCGGTTGCCTCAACGTTGATATCCGAATTATAACCCAGACGCACATTAAACTCTTTCAAAGCCTTCAGATCCACATGATTAACGCCAACTGACATCGTGCTTACCACTTGCAGAGAAGGGGCTGGGGCAAAAGAATTAAGAAGCAAAACGTGTATAATCCAACATCCAAGAGGAAAATCAAGTTTAAGGAGCAGGACCTTTTATGTCCGTAAAGTCAGCACCTCAAATTTTAAAATTTTCTCTTGTGCTCATCATTTGCATATCTTAATAATCACTTTAATTTTTTTTTTTTTTTGCTCAGGCATGTACCATCCGAGAATTAAACTTGAATTTTAGAGAAGTCATTGACTTAAGCACCCCTGTCTATTAACTTCTTACACGAAGAAAAAGACCTCGTGCTTGGGACCCGAAATTTAGGTCATATGGATCTCTGAAGTTTTCAGATTGAGCATCTGAACACTTTCGGTCTAGCTGTCGAGGTTCGGATCACACATCTGAAATGAGAACCGAAGTTTTTCGGATGTGAGAACCGAAGTTCTTCGGATGTGAAAACCGAAGTACTTACAGACGTAAGAACTGAAGTTTCAGATGTGTGATCCAAACCTCAGCAGCTGGACCTTAAGTGTTCGGATGCTCAATCCGAAAACTTCAGGGATCCATATGACCTAAACTTCGGGTCCCACGCACAATTTTTTTTTCTCCGTGTAGGTAACAAAATTTTGAGAATGTATTTCTTTCATCCGCTAATTTATTTTTAACAACGTTAAAGGCGGTTTATCATCTGGTAAAAAGAAAATTCTGAGAATTTCGTCAGCCATGCTTTCTTGAGATGGTGAGCCGTTCAATCGCTTGAGCGCACTACTATAATAAAATAACTCTAGTGGCAGAACGAAAACGAGAAGCGTCTGCTTATCGGCTGAGCGCTTTAAAATACGAGTTTTCAGGGAAACTTGTGAATGTTCGTCTTCCAATTTTTCGGCGGATTGTATTCGCATGTTAATATAAATTATCTGAAATTGTCCAGGAAAAATATGTATAACTCTTTCGAAAAACTGAATTTTTTTCTGAAGGAAAATTTAGCAACGTCTGAATGTTCACGCGATATTTTTCCTATCCTCGTAAGTCCCCAGGGCAAAACTTATTGCCGTGTAATTCAGTACTTGCCAGAGACCCGGTGGCAAATCGACTCCTCATAACATGTTCTAATTTGAGTCACTGGAGCGCTGCACTGGCGACATTGAATGATTAACATGTGAGCTCGTGAGCTCTAATGTTCCGTTTTATGCTGCATAAGGTAGATAAGTCTTTTTGCGATATTGGACATTGTGAAAAATGAAAATGCAATAAGTTAAAATGGACTCAAGACAGGAGCACTGTATACTTGTAAAATCCCTGGGTCTTAGGAGGCCATGTGAGAATTCCCTCACATGTGACTTTCACGCGAGTCTTTGTGTGGATGGTGTGCAATTCGTGATTCTGGAGGCTCCTAAGGGCGCTAAGACGACCGTTCGGCCGATCGAATCACTTGAATCACGATTCCTCACTTGTGACTTTCACAAGAGTTTTTGTGTGGATAGTGTACAATTCGTGATTCTGGAGGCTCCTAAGGGCGCTAAGACGACCGTTCGGCCGATCGAATCACTTAAATCACCATTCCTCACTTGTGACTTTCACAAGAGTGTTTGTGTGGATGGTGTACAATTCGTGATTCTGGTGGCTCCTGAAGGCGCTAAAACGACCGTTCGGCCGATCGAATCACTTGAATCACGATCCCTCACGTGTGACTTTCACACAAGTTTTTGTGTGGATGGTGGGCATTTCGTGATTCTGGTGGCTCCTAAGGGCGCAAAAACGACCGTTCGGCCGATCGAATCCCGTGAACCGCGATCCCTCACTTGTGACTATCACACGATTTTTTGTGTGGATGGTGTGCATTTCGTGATTCTGGTGGCTCCTAAAGGCGCTAAAACGACCGTTCGGCCGATCGAATCCCGTGAACCGCGATCCCTCACTTGTGACTATCACACGATTTTTTGTGTGGATGGTGTGCAATTCGTGGTTCTGGAGGCTCAAAAGGGCGCTAGCGTTCACCACGGTAGTGGTGTATGCTCTTTCCGGCCGTTTGGCAGCGGGTCTGTTACTTCATAGGCTGTCCCAAAACAACTGAGAGCAAGTCTGTATTTCAGAAACAATAATAGATATTGAAACGCGGTTTGTGGGAGGTTATAGCTCATATCATTAGCTATCCAGCTAGCCCAAGATTAGCTCATTTGGTCAACATTTTGCTGAGTTATTGCAATTTTCCGGAGGCGTGGAAAAAATAACCCCACAGGATTTTTGAGTGTTTTTTTCCCTGAATATTGTCTAGCGTTAATGACACTTTCCTCTGTCGCAGAAGTTGACGGCCGGCCGCCACGCGGAATCAAAGCCGCCGACTCGCGACCCTCGGAAAAAGCTGCATGCCACCGATAAATGGTGCTCTCCCCAAGTCGATTTTCTCCCTAAGCAACTGACATCTCTTTCACGGTATCAGAGGCAGTTAAACCTCGGCGAACACAGTAACGGATGGCAAAGCGTTGCTCTTGGTTCAGCTCCGCGGACGAACTCATTGCACCAAACGAGAACACGTGTCATTAACGCTAGACAATGTTGGCTTCATTGAGCTGGGAAGTTCAAGAAAACTCTGATATGCAATAAAGTAAGTAAGTAAGTAAGTAAGTAAGGTCGGGCTGGCCGGCGAGGCGCCCTCAAGGGGCCAAGGCAACTGGCAACTGCCGTCGTGCACCCCGAAGTTGGACCGTACACCTTAACATATCTTCGTCCTATTGACACATTGAGTATCATCTATATTTCCGCAAGGCTCAGCGGCCGTCTGATAGCCAACGGAAGGTCTTATCAAAGACTGTGGCAGACGCTGCAGAGCACGGACTTTCGGAGCACGGCCATGCCTCCACCGAGTTGGACTGTGTTGATGCAATCTTCACTGATAGGTAGCGCTGGCAGTCGCGCACACTACGAGTGATTACCGATTTTACACAACCCAGTCGAACAGTGCAGACGGATTACTTACTGGGTGACTATGTCCCTCCCGCACCCTGTAACCTCGAAGGGTCAGGGTATTGGAGTGGCATAGTCATCCACAGTCACCTCCGGGGATTGAACCCGGGACCTCAGTGTTGGCAGCGAACTGCCTTGACCACTACACGACTGAGGCTGACTGATATGCAATAAAAACACATGCAAATATGTTAGAACTTCCATCTAGACCAGTGCCAACGTGATCCGCAAAGTTGCGATCAACTGCGCGACTCTCGGAACAACAGTTCAGACAAGAAAGAAAACACTCAAAAGTCCTGTAGGGTTATTTTTTACACGCCTCCGGAAAATTGCTGTAACTCAGCGAAATTTTGACCAAAAGAGCTAATCTTGGGCTCGTTGGAAAGCTAAGGATATGAGCTCCAACTTCCCACAAACCGCGTTTCAATATCTATTATTGTTTCTGAAATACAGACTTGCTCTCAGTTGTTTTGGGACAGCCTATGTAATGGATCCATTGGTAGTAGCCCGCACTGCCTTATGGGAATCGGCGCCTTTTTTCGTGGCGGGAAGCAATATCTAGTTTCTCAATGTTATTCTTGTACCATCTCTGCCCTTTTTCTCCTATTTTGTCCATTTATGTAATGCCTGTGGCATTGTCTTCGAGAAATTAATATGTTAACGTTTTAAAACTCTGTAACATACTTTTATTTAATGACTATTTCAAGCATCGTTCAAATTTTTTGTCGTCGTAATTCTAGAAAAATGTTTGGGTACAAAGTACCCCCTTATAAATGACCCCTATATTTTACTCTATGATTCTTTGATATATGTATGTTTGAAAATAGTGAAATCTCTTACCTACCTCCTGAGGCGATAACTTCTTGATCGACCAAATCACAGGTTGTAACGAGTAAACCAGCCTTCCCTCGAATAAGTTGGATGAGTGTATCTTTGGGGATTGTCCCGTGCTTCTCACTGTCCCATGTCTCGACATCAAAACTATTGAAAAATGAGGAAAATTGTATGAGAAATATCACGAAGGACTGTGAATTTCCTTCTTTGCAGCTATATCCATTCAATGCGGCCATCCTTGAAGAAAACCCATCCATTTAGAGGGTGGGTTCTATTTTAAGATCTAGGATTTAAGTGAAGTCGTATGAGGCGCTGCCTTTTGTTATAGGGTGCCGGTCCCTCTATTATATGTGTTGGAATTTATGCAAATAGATCAGTAGGTATGGCCTAACGGCCAACGGGATAAGCACGACTTTTATCCAGCTAGTCAACTCTTCACAAGAGTTGAGAGAATATTTGTCGCTAATGCATGACGTCTTCTACATCCTCACACCCCATCCCAATTTCTTGAATGTCTCTATTGAAAATACTTTTGTATCCATACTACGTATTGTGGATAAGACTTTTTTGTATCGATTTTTGACATATCTTAACTGTTTATTAATCCATGTCTAATTCAAATCCTAGACTTTTTAACAAAATAGTTGATTCCGAAATAACGACTCAGCTTCAGCAATGACATAAATACTTGCTGAATTTAAAGCGAATATTAGATCCGTGATTAAGACTAGTTATGAAACAATAGGAAAAGAGACAATATCAGACTGTAAATCTCCAATCTCAATCTGGATCTGCTTCCAAACAGTTTGTCAACGGTTTTTGATTTGTATCGGAATCATGGAGGTTTTTTTTATGGATAACAACGTTCGGTCCTTCACGGTAGTGGGAATCAGTTCGTAAAAAAATTCCCCCAACGCATGGCATTGCATCTAATTTTGAACTTTTTGACATAACACGATTTTACACTTTTACCATTTGGACTATTTCCGATATCAAGAGCTGGGGAACACTATCGTCTAACTGACAATTTTGGCGAAAATGAGTTAGCAACTTGGCCGCATTCTACAGTATAAAATACACAAACTGTTAATTTAAAATTTTCTCTTAATTGGTAGGAAAGCGCTGCAATGACGCTGTAATGCATGATAAAGTTGCAAAGCTATCCTCAAAATGGACCACCAGACAAGGTACGAATTTAAGCGCTCTGATACATGTTTCTTAACCAGAATTCCACGTAGAAAACGATTCACACAACGAAAATTACGGAAACCAACTCCTAACGAAGATGTTAACGTTTTTATTTCACATTGGTTACGAGGAATTTGAACTGCCCGCTCACAAGAAACTCAAAACTCTACGTGAGTCAAATCGCCCACTACAATGGTTTCAGCAAGCTTCTCAATCGAGCAATGTTCATTTCCCATTATGTCTTGTTCAAACTATTAGCAATTTGCTATAACTGAGCCAAAGCGTAAAGATTGAGGTTGCCAGATTTTTATACTGCATGAGACTGTCATGATAACGTTTAGCGCGCGATGTGAATCACGTAGAGCATTGAGTTTTCATGGGCGGGTGGTTTGAATTCACGCATCAAGAATCATTAATTATCTTCGCAAGGAGTTAATTTCGGTAATTTTCGTTTTGCGCATCGTGTTTTACGTAAAATTTTGGTTAAGGAACATGTATCAGAATGCTGAAATTCGTATCTTATCTAGTGATCCATTGGTAGGAAAGCGCTGCAATGACGCTGTAATACATACAGTTGCAAAGCTATCCTCAAAATTACTGAAAGTGCGAAGTTTTCTCTTCGTCTTGGAAAAATTTTCAGTTCGCAGACAGGTAGTATTGTTCCCGATCCATTGATGTCATGCTTTGAGACAACAGCACCACACTGCAAAATGATGATAAGGAATTAAGAAAACAATACTGAAGTTTCAAATATCAGCATACTTGAGCCGCGTGTCGCATGAAGCCTCGCGAACACCCGGACTTCATACATCCAAAATTATTGTAAAATAGGTTCTTGCTCATCATGAAAGTTACGAATAGTACACTAATATTCGAATCATATTAAATTATCAAGGCAACACTTATTAGTAAGAATCAATAGATCGTATTCGATAGTGATTCGATGTATCGTTCGGTTCAAAACAATAGAACATAATTTCTAACCAAAATGTTAGGATATTTGTGAGAAAAGCTGAAAATGAGCGATTTTACTACTTTTGGCCACTAAGTTCCCATACGCATCAAAAATCTATCATAAAAATCGCGTTCCATGAGATTACTCAAGTGACTTTTGAGGCTATGTTTATGTTTTGAACCAATCGTTTTCGATACAAACTCACCCGTTTGATGTATCGAATACGATCTACAATAAGCAAAACGTTACTTTACTGTTGTTTCAATAAGTTCACTGCCGAAGGGGAATAATCACTTCGCGTCAAGAGCACTTTTCGCTTATCGACAGAGCTGGCCATGGTACTTTTTCCCGAACTAAAACCTGATATTGCAAGCGGAAGTAAGTCTAAGTATTGAGCACGATGGAGAAGCGAGCGGCAGATAACGCTGGTGCCAGAAAGCATTGCAATCGGCAACTCGCACAAGACTACGCGCGCATTATTGAATGTGCCATGTGTTAGTCTCGCGGTATCATGAATGTAGCGACTGAGGCGCTGAAGTGGGGCATGCGTCCAACTTTAGTGATAGTGGGGGAGGGAGAGGTTAAAGCCCTGTTAATTGGCCACGTCATTCGACATGGCGATTTTATGAGAGCGTGGTTCGGTTGACTCGTTTGCATTTTGAAGCTCTTTTAAAGCGCGGCAAAATTCAAATGGGCTGGTAAAGCCATGGTCTGTCGATTCAGCACAGGGGAGAATTTTATGAGTGCCGCCGCCCGCGGCGCACTATGCACTGGAAAAAAAACACATCGGATTTAGAGACCAGACTCATGAAAACATTGACAAGATAAAATACTCTTGATTCAAGCAGAGTTAAGCTTAAATCAAAAGGAAATCCGCTCAAATTAAGGGGCTTGGTTCTTGATTTAAGCTTAAATCTGATTGAATCAAGAGTATTTTTTCTTGTCGATGGTTTTAGAGTCTGAACTCAAGATCCAATGTGTTTTTTCTCCAGTGTGGTCCGAAACTCGAGAATAGGAAGAAATAAGTCGGATAATGACTGAAAGATCACGAAAGTTTCGTACTTGATGGTTTTGAGTCGCTAATTTCGAATTTGATGTCAAATTGGCTACATTTCAACACTCTGACCTAGTGACCTGTGGGTAAGTTTATGGCACTCTGGGGCGCGGCGTGCTGCCGCTGCCAGCTTGAAACGCGCACTGACGCCTACAAACCTAAGGGGATACTTCAAGCATTGGGCAATGCGTGAGGTAGCCTTTTAGGTTTGTAGGCGTCAAAGCGCGTTTCGCGTTGGCAGCACGCTGCGGCTCTCCCGGCGGGCGTGTGGTGAACGATTTCTTGCGGGGAGAGCTCCTTGGCGGAGAAACTCGTGTATCGTGTAATTTTTTTTTTTTTTTTTTATCTTTTTTAATTTTCGACATTTAAAAATACACACTGGTTGTGAGAAGTAATTAGTGAACTCTCAACGCCAGATAAAGTGTAATAATTGAACGTGGGTCGTGCGCCATGCGCTCTGTGGACGGCGCAGGGCGGCTCATGAAATTCTCCCCTGTGTTTTGTCGCAAAGTCTGTACCGGTCAGAGACAATATAATTAAGGACTCCGCATTGCTATCTTTCAAATTATCGTTCCCCGAATTTGGAAACGCAACTCCATTTCGAAGTTGCAAAATTTAATCAGACGAGTCGAATTTTTACGAGGTTGTGTACCTATGAAATTTTGGTTCAATAATTTCTGATTTGCGCTTGAAGCCCGTGAAAAAAAATCGATGAAATTTTCAGCCCCAAATGCCCTAGATTTTCCCGGTGAGCATGCGATTTGCGAGTGGAAATTTGACAACACTGAAATGTAGCCATGTTCTTTCGCGAGAAAAATGACGATACGATGTAAAAGATTTTCTCCGAAGTCAACGTTCAAAATCACCGAATGATCGTTAATCGGTGCCACCCACGGGAGCTTTATTCTTGGTTCATGAGGGACTGGATGACTAATGGCCATAGAGTTGAGCAATTGGTCATGTAAACTTACCTTTATTTGCATAAACTCGCCCAGAAAAGTGCTAACCTTGACGTTCACAAGGTGGAGGAATGTTGCTGGGTTCCCATCATTTCATGGGGAAAACAAAACCAAGAAATTTCAAAAATTTTCAATTAGAGTCAAAAAAATGTTTTTGCTCTATTGAGCACCAGTACAAGACTGAGGGGGAGAGTGTTCAGCCCAGACAGCGTTGACATTAAGCAGTCATCACATTGGGGAAAAAAAACCACATTGGATCTATAGTCCAGACCCTTGAAAACATTGACAAGAAAAAATACTGTTGATTCAATCGGATTTTTGCTTGAAATAAAACGAAACCGCTTAAATTAAGAGGCTTGGTACTTCGGCGGAACTCCGTGAAGGGCGGGCGGGGTGGGGGCTCGCGACTGAGCCCCACGCAGCGTGAGCCGGCATTGCGCGTACAGTACACGTACATAGAAAAATTAGTTGCGCGCTCGGATTTTCGCAAATTACTCGTTCCCACTTCATTTTTCGGCGAATACACAAGGACTACATAATAAGAGCATGAAATATACTGTAACACGGAACAATTTTCGTCTCTCTGCAGTCATTACTGTCTGAGAAAAACGCTTCATAATTGAAAATATGAAGGAGGTGACCTGCTTATAAGACGGATGTGCATATAATGCGTGCAGCTTGTACAGATGACGACGCGGGTAAGAAGTAATTTTGTAAAAGGTACAAAAAGGATTCAAAACGCGGTCAATCATATAAATCAACGGTAAAAACGAGGAATAATGTTATATATTGTACATACAAAAGCATATAGAAATTGCAGTTACCAGAGGATAGTTGAAAACGTATTTCTTTACACTGTATTTTTGGTAATTGCATTATGAATGTAATTTGATACGACTTCATACGGCTGCAGAGCTACAGACCATGTCCCCACCTAAAGAAGAAATTAAAAAAAAAAAAAAAAAAAAAAAAAAAAAAAATCAGACTAACTGAAGTAACCGAAGAACACACTTCTTCCCAATAGGTACAAATTCAACATAAAATTTGAAAGAATCGTTCGCGTTCACATGCAACTTTAAATAATGACCGGGCGAGAAGAAGAAATTCATCAAAAAAGAATAAAGTTATTGAAGAAGTGTGAAACAGAATTGCGTGTTTAAGACTGCAGGCAGGAAAATAGGGATTTTAATAATAAGTATATGTAGTAATCATTGCGTATATGTATGAGTAGAACCGAGGCTGGAGAATAAAATGACTATTGGCCGGAGAAAAGAATTAGCTTATTGAAAATCTGCCTCTTGGTGACGTTTTTATTGAAGGCATTGTTGCGCATGAAGTGTGTCCGGATGAGGATGATGTACTTCATGGCAATTGCTTTTATCAAAAGGAACTTATGATTGTGAATTAGATCAGGTCAAGCAGGTGGTCGTTCAGCTCCTTAAAAAGCCTGTCGCTGGTTTCATTTTTATCATAGAGTATTTACTACGTCAAATCAAATATAATGATGGGCGGGATAAAAAGTATCATTACCCTTTGGCGAGTAACCACCGCCAACAAGTCGTAACTTTTTAATATTGTTATATTATAGGGCAACCCCTAGAGAGGGTATTTTAATAAAGTATAAGCACTGTCCTCCCTCCCCACAATAGGAGGACAGTGATTATACAGTAAAGTCCAGTCGTACAGTGTCGTCCAGTTTGACTTTCCCACGCTTGGCGTCAGCGACTAACGCGAGGGTGCGGCACTTACCGGGATTAACATCGAGCCCCACGGATCCGAGAGCACGACGGAAAGCCCCGAGGGCCTCGGAGAGACCCTCGGGCGTGGAGGCAAAGAGGGTCACGTCATCGGCAAATGCCAGGTGGCCGATAGAGCCCCCTCCTACTCGGTAGCCAACGCCCTGGGGAAGCTGCCGGAGACAGCAATCCAGGACAAGGTTAAACAAGAACGGCGATAGGGGATCGCCCTGCAGTACACCTCTGTTGATCTGCACGGGGGCAAGGCCCCCGCTGCTTTTGGCTGGGAACGCAAGCCTCAAGATGAGCGAGGCTGGGAGGACATAAAATGTCTACTCCCCATCGGGATCGTAATCGACCCGGTATTCAAGCAAGAATACTAGTCATCCCGCCCGACCCACTACAGTCACACCTCCATACTGAAGGAGATACTCGGAGTCTGCAAATTGGGTAATGTCCCAAGTTCCTGCTAGATGTGGCAAGGGCTCAAGAACGCGGAGATCCGCTTGTGACATGAGTTTTACGTCAATGTCATCGCGTTCAAAATAGAGTGTCACTTTACGTGCGATTACTGATTTTAGGTAATACCGTAAGCGGTAGGGTTCGGGAAGGCAAGAACAACACACGTAAATTTTAATGTCAATGTAACTTGAAGAAGTGATGTTACATGGAGCCTCAAGGCGGTGACACTTTATCTTGCGGCAGGGAACAGCAGAACCTTCGAAGCCGAGTTCGTTTTCACTAGACCGTATGAAAGTAATGTTTGAGCCTGAAATCATTTGCGCAATCTCGTTCCTATACTCGGTATGATTGAGTTTGTAGAGCCACCCCCTCCGGGGATTTAATGATCGGACTGTCGATGAATTTTGCGCCCTGTAGTGGCTCTCCGGTGTAATATATTCAAAACTTCATTTGAAAGTGCTGCAGGAGAAAATTTTTTTAGTGAATTTTCAACTTCACCTCCTGGAAATGCAATAAGCAGTACTTTTTCACATAGTCTTGTAATCAGAAGCACATTTTCTGACGCATAATTTAAGCCGCCTCTGTCTTTGATTAGACTCAATGCACTTCCAGATTCTCCCTTTCCAATCATGGAGGCGATGCAAGTTGGGCACTTAATTCTTTTCTTTAGAACTTTTGCAATAAAGCCGGAGATTTAGGAAACGATATTTTCGATACAGACAGTGAAGTTCGAGGTTTTTGCATCATTAGTAATTCTCAAGAGAGAATTCATATCTTGGTTAGTAAACTCTGCTATTAGAGAGATGTCATCAAATTCATTTTCAAGTTTATCGAAAACTGGATCATAAAAAGTAGAAAAATTTGGAGACAAGATGTTAATCAATTTTTCGGGGTCCGCAGTGGCAGATGAGCAGGTTAAAATTGAGATGTGCTCTACGTCGACGCAATCACCACTGCGGCCCATTTTCAGCTCCATGTGGATGAGATTTTTCCTGTATGCATTACGCAATTGCCTCACTGTAGGGGTGTTGTTGTGCCCCCCACACATGCGAATGCAGCCGAAAAAAATCTCTAGGTGATCTTGAGTGAACTTGTAAGCAGGGAGAAACTGCAGTGTTGGCGATTCTCCTGTACATAATTTTTCATACAGTTTTAATATTCTCAGGGTATCCACTAAAAATCCCAAAAAACCTGTATGCCGCACAGTGCGGCACTTCCACAAGCGGCGTGGACAAAAATCAAGGGCACCGTCAAAATGGACCTATGGAACCATAAACGGCATGAAATGATCAATTTAAGCCCCCCTCCCCCCCAGACTTTTGTTTAAAGGATCTTGACTTTTCCAGCATCCGAGAGCTGGTACAATAGGTGATAAGTGGTTATGAGCTGAATACACGTAATTAGGGGTTATGACATTCAATTTCACTGTTCAGGCACAAAAATGAAAACAAATCTCTCCCGGACAAGGTAAGGTGAATTTTATGTATCTGGAGGCGCTGAATTCGAATATAATGTCCGTTTTCTTCAATCACCCTCCAATTTTCCGGAAAACTTGATTTTACCCGGAAAAGCAGATTTTACCCGGAACAATGGCAATTTTTTGTGTTTTTGCGACTGTTACCCCCTGCGGAACGTAGGTATAAAATTTTTCAGATACGATATACGATTTTTCGCTTGTATTTTGCGCCGCTAAGTCCGTAAATGGCCTTCATTTTTCCCCATCATCTCTGAGTTTTCCGGAAAAGCGACTTTTTCTCGGGAAAATGAGTAAATTTAACGTATACATTTGTCATGCATGCAATGTTGTAAAGGCAAGAAAGAAAAAAACCAGATGAACAGAATTCCTGTCGCAGAAATTAGAAAAATAAATCAGTCTCTCGAGATACGTTTTCCTACATAATAACAAAATACAATGAAAAATTTGGTGAACGTAGGAAAATTAACAGAACATGAGAAAGCGGATGAACTAGTTTGAATAACTTCATGAAGTTAATTTCCTTAACTCTCTTGGTTTCAGAATTGTCATTTTGTACAAGAAAAATAGCACCATTTTTTAAAGCTAGTTGGACAGTTGATCCAAAATTTTTATGAGATCTCATGAAAAAAATACTGAAAGGACAAAACATGAGTTCAGATTCTTCGGACATGATTCCCTGAGTGACTCAACATTTAGACTGATTCGGCATCTTCAAGCTCTGACAAAAAAGTACACGAGTCAGCAAAAGAATCTTCTTCGATGAAGTACTTGTCGAGGTCACGCAGGTCGTCTTTATCATGGCGGATCTTGGGCTTTCTTTTGGCGTTCCTGTGGCAAGCAATCAGAGGATCGGAGGAAAGAAGCAACATACTCATCAAATCGGTCATATTGAAGAGTCTACTCGATTTTCTAGTGTGATGTTCGCGGCAAAATCTCACGACTTTATGTAAGGCTTCCAAGGCTTCCTCTGATAAATCACTAGGAGGCATGGCGAAAAATTCAATCAGTTCGCGGCCATGCGCGAGAACCTTATGCACGGTGACCGGCATACAGTACCAGGCGTAAAGTTCCTGATATAACTCAAATGTGTCAGTTAGGAGGATTCCAAAATTGTCTAAATTAATAACTTCGTTGGTGGAGCTTAGGATTCTCAAAATATCGTGGAAGTTCTGTATTAGCTGCTTATCGATCCCTGTCACTTCTGCAGTTACTTGCGAATTTGCAAAAAAATCTCCTTGCACAATTGCCGTCATTAGTTGTGCCTGAATCAGGTTTAGGAGTATCGATTGTAAGTCCTAAGCGATCTTTCATGGCGGCTCTAACTTCATTTTGCCTTTCAGCAACAATCGCCTGCTTGTCTTTGCCTTCGGCACGCCAACATTTGAAGGGGAGTCTATACGATATATGGCAAACGCACTCTTGGAATCGGATCCATCAGTGAAGAGGCGATTTGCCATATTTATATCTCTCTTCACGTGTTGGTCTCTCAAGGACTTTGGGGGTGTTCATCATGCTCGGCGTGGCTCCACAGATAACACACTTTTGTGAGCTATTAGTCTCAGTTAGTGTGTTAATGATTTTGCCGTCCAGCATCGAGTGGTAAAGCTGAAACTCCACTACGTAGCCGCCAATCTCGTGTGAAGTCAACTTTTCAATTTCATCCTTAATTGACTTTTCTTGGGCCACAATTAATTCATCTGTCTCTTTCTCAAACACGATTCTTATTGGTCTACAATAGAAGGTTGAATTTGGGCGGGCGTTCATCCATAACAGCTTCGGACACTACTTTTAACGGTACAAAAAACAAAATTCATCCGTAGCAGGTTTGTTGACGAATTTTTGTTTATATCTGCTATGCCCAGATGAGCCATCGAACTCCCACTTGCAGATCAACTGAACCTTCGAAATGGGTGGATTTGGAGGTAGATCAGCAGATTTGATAATACTCTCAGCAGTGATATTCAGGAAGTTTTGGAGGTTCACTTGTGCTGAAGTCTCTGTCACCTAGATGTTTGACTCTTATTGCATTTAGGAGAGGTAAACTAAGTTATTGTGTAGTAAAAAAATGAAGATAATTTAGTATATTGGGCTTTCTTGGTCCAAACTAAATAAACAAAGCCCCTGCAGTTGATTAAAATTAGAATTTTGAAATGCTAACGGTTCTCCAAAGGAAATACAAGGGAAACCCTACAACAACAGGCCCTTTGTTCTTTAAAACACTTGGTGCATTGCTGTTGAATGTGGACCATTTTGTGTAAGGAGAATAGTTGCCACCGATGCTAAAATTATGTAAAATATTTAAGTCTCCTGCGCGTCAGTGTAGGTACGCGAGGTTTAAATAAAAAATATAAGCTGGTTCAGTACAATAGTGCTTGAATTGAATTCACATTTGTTTCAAATCTGAATGAATTTAATGGATTTTCATAGGCTCTACAACATTTAGGCAGCACTACGTAATGTGATTGCGGCATTCTGTGGTCTTTCTGCAGCATTCTACAGTTCCTGCATTTCTGCAGTCCTGAGGGACACTGAAGGACATTTTTACTTATCAGGCTACTCAATTCTGACTTTAAGAACATTCTATCACATTTCTCAAAGGGTTGCTCACTTCATTATTACGTGCGGAAAACAAATGATTGAACGACAATGACTAGCATCTTGGAACTAAAATCTTATTATTTGTCTAGGAGGTTTTCCCAGTGAACAGAGGTCCCCTATTACGCGTCACTGTAATTGGTCGTATTTCTATCAACCGGAACTATGTGCATTGTGACGTGAGCCCTGTCATGCATTTATCCATATGGGTCTCAGGGCTCATGCCTTAATGCGCATAGTTCCATTTGATAGAAATACGTCCAATTGGTCGTATCTCAGGAAAATACCCAACAGTTTGACACAGAATTTTAAATTCGTTTACTGTTTCACTGTTAGACACTGATGAATTGTCACGCTGAACACAAGCCTTGGTATTCATCGTTAATCGGTCATTGAATGGAGTCGAGTCGAAAGAGTTTGATACTTCGTCCCCAAAGATTAAATGCTACAGCACCATAATTCGCAGATACTAACATAGCCCCATCAAGAGCAGTTGTGGGTACACAGCAGGGACTGAATGTCTAACTCCTTCATATTTATGCACTGAAAAAAGTGTCTAGTCTGAGAAACAAGAATTCTACTTTCTCAGACAAGACCGTCTTGTTATATTTGATCCACAAGGTATTTTAGTTTGTGAAATACATACAGTCTTGTTCAGGGAACAAGACTTCCTTGTTGCATGAGTCAGAAGTCTTGTCTAGGTGACAAGGATGTTTGGTCTCAGCAATAAGACCTGCTTGTTGTATTATTTAGATTGTCTCGTTTCTAAGATAAGATTTTCTACCCTATGAAACAAGGATTCTAGTTCCTATAAGTAGACTTTCTTGTCACAGTGAAAAGATACTATGGGCTGTGGCATTGCGGTCCAGTCAGGACCCCCGAGCCTCCCCGGGGGGGGGGGGGGGGTCTCAAGGGGGGACATCCTTCCTTGAGAAAATACCTAGCTACGTTTGAACATACGTATTTTTGAACTTTTGCACTACTTGTAAAGCTATTTTGCTAAAGCTTTTCTTTCACACAGCTTTGTTGAAGATTTTTTATCGCATTAGCTAACGAATTGAGATTCAGTGAATTTTCAATTAAGTGAGTATTTTTTTGGACTTTAGTGCTAGTTAAAATGTAGGTTACTTAACAATCAGAGGCATCTGTCCTCAATGATTTGCACTTTAAAATTTTTGTACTCCTTAAGGTGATTCTTTGTGCGCCATATTTTGGGACAGTGACATGCATGCAATATATCCCATCGATTCGTTCCATTTCTTCAGCCACTCATCATTTTTCTCGAATTTTGAGATAGCAATTCTGTTGTCAGGAGACTAAAGAATTCACGTATCAATTTTTACAAACAAATTCAAAGTAACAAAGGTATGGTTTTTTTAGAGGAAGAATATCGCATTCAATACAGATAACGAAACTGCACCCGAATGCGATATTTTTCCTCTAAAAAAACCATACCTTTGTTACTTTGAATTTGTTTGTCAACATTGGTACGTGAATTCTTTAGTATCCTGTCAACAGAATTGCAATCTCAAAATTCGATAAAAATGAAAAGTGACTGAAAAATGGAACCGATCGATGCGATATATTGCATGTCACTCTGACACAAAATATAGCGTCCATCGAATCACCTTGAGATTTTAGATTCCGTACCTGTAGGGTACATAAAGTTCACCAGATGAAGATGAAATGACATTTGTGGACATAAAATGAGAAAGATCGCTTTACTTCACAAAGCGGTGCTCTTTTGAATTAAAATATGCAACTTGATGGCAATGGACATGGGAATTAAAATATAATGTTTTTAAATTTTCTTACAAAAATCCAGCATTGTTGCTTTTATCTACACAAAAGCTCTGATTTGACCAAATTCTGTATCAAGATAAATTGGATCCTCGCTGGGTAAAACTATGACCATTCCAGGCTCATAAAATGTACTGTGAATGGTGGTCCATGGAACTATTTCCCAGTTTGCAACTAAGTCAGGTGGGAGATTTGAGCAAGTTGATAAAAATGATAGAGCATCATCCGAGATTTCTGAGGCATTGCCAAATTCTTTCCGATCCGTCAATACTGTTCCAGACTGCATGTAACAGTGATGTATTATTTGGTGCCTTATACCTACAGTTTTAGCCAAATTACGAGATGTTGCAACACTCACGGCAGTTTTTTTCCCCTGTTGATGTTTACGCTCCACATTAATCACCCAATAGAGCAACGGGGGTCCCAATTCTTCAATTAACCTAGGATTGTGGAGAATGTGATGCTGCTTGTTCTTTAAACGTTTTTCTCGGCTCCAAGTTAAAAAAAATGTATGGTGCTCGTCTATGAGAGACTTTAATAATTTAAGACGTCTTGGGTCAATGTAGGGGGAAAATATTACATCCATTATTTGTCTAAGTAGCGTATACAGTCTCCAAACGGGATCATCTTCGGGGAAAAATTTCCCAAATAAAATTCCAAAAAACACAACAAAATTCATCATCTCTGCGGCAAACATTTTGGCATGGACCACCTTCCCAGTTATTATGACAGGAACCGGTTTATTTTTTTTTGCAACAAGCCCATAATTGGTATTGAGAATCAGATTGTTGATTTCATGGATGCTTACATATTTATAGGAGATAGCAAAATTTAAAATTAAATTTGCATCAAACACAGCAGCTCCTTGAAGAATATCATGATGCAAATCAAAAGAGGTGTTATGAACAACATGGACATAAGGCAATTCATTCCATAGAGAAGCTCTATTTATACCCGTTTCTGAAGGATTGTTTTTAAGAAGATCTGAATCATAGTTTTCAATTGTGCGCAACAGGTTTGGATCTTCCTTAGTTTCTCAGATCTTCCTAGATCTCATTATGTCCCTATGAACTTGACAAAATCTGCATGGGTGATTTGCAGTAAAACATGCTATGAAGTCTGTGATCTCATGGAGGCCAAGGTTGTCACCCAAATGGAGCCCTAGGTGAAATTTAATTGTTCTCTCAAAAGAAGGGGTATTTATAAAAATGCCAGTGCTGCTTACATACGCATTAGTTCTTCAAAAAATGGTTTATATAGGATGCTATTTAGGACATTGTCTTTATCAACGCTGTTCATAAGTCCAAACTAAAATATATTGCTAATCATGGAACGATACTAGCGATGGTAATGTTGCATACACACCTGTCAATTCATTAGTTCCTGCGTGAGAGCCTAAAGGATTGCCACATTCATACTCATCAGAAAAAACGAACAGAGGCCAGTGTATTACATTGTCAGTAGGGGGAGAGCTGTTTTGAATTGCCTGAAGAGTTCTCTTCCACAGATTCCCTTGTGTGAAATCAGATAATATTCTTGTCTCTGAACCTAAAGTGGCTAGATGTTCTGAATTTTTTTTTAAATACATCTGATGCCTCCAAAAAAGATTTAAGCACTTTGTGTAATAGAACAACTTGAACTGATCGCACCTCACTTTCAAGATAAAAATTAGATGATGCTGTGGAGTGAGGCTGAACGACATATTTGATGGGAAAAGACATTGGAGCCACAAAGGTTCCTTGATTCTCAAAATAATTGAAACGAATGTACTCGGACCTAAATTTATGAAAAGTTCTCTTAACTATCGTAGATGTCTGATCGAACAGGGTAGGTACGTTTTCTGCCGTTAACTTTAATTTTTTCACATCATTGAGTAATCTGGTAACTGTTTGGTGTAGAGGGTCTTCTGTGTTCTCTATAATGATCTGAATTTGGTTCCGTGGAAGACTTGGGTTGGCATACATTTTACAAATAAAAGAGCTTAAATCTTCTTCGAAGCTTGACTCAAAGTCTTCGGGAGAGATTTCTAGTGCCTCGTTTTCGGCAGAGACGTCGATAAGATCATCAGCATCTGAGATATTTACATAAGAAGAGGAGTTTGCAGTCAAAGAGGAATTTCATTTTTAGTGGCACATACATGATGTTTTTTGATGTGTTTGCATAGATTCGAAACATTTACCAAAGATTTTCCGGTACAATTTTTTTCAGCACATATGTAGCGCTCATCCGGACTCAAGTTATGGTTTCTTAAATGCCGCCCAAGGGATTTTAAATGGGGGAAACTTTGATTACACTTGAATCAAACGACCGTACTAAAGAAATATTTTGAAATTTTTGCCACATAAAGAAAAGAAAGAGAAATATAGAAAGAAAAAATACAAAAGCAAAATTAAACCATTCCAATCATACGTATATGAATTGAGAGATAAGGAATCTAATCCTCTTGAACCTGACGTAACAGGTCTTTTTCTAGCTTGCGAACACTTGAGCAAGTGCCATCAAACTTGGTTGATATATCAAAGATTATTTTCTGCAAAAACAGATAAGAATATTTTGCCTCATGCGGATAATCTGCGTGAAGTGCATGACATGCTTTGAAGGCAACATCCAGGGCTTGGATCGGCGATTCAACTCGATAGAAGATTTTGTTGATTATGGCGTATGATTGGATGTTACCGTTATCATTAATCACTGCTGGACAGGGCTGGACTGTAAACCCATATTCTGCAAATGTCTTGAACTTATCCTTAATGGCAGTTTGTAGATCTAGAAATGTTGATTTTTGCATGAAAACAAAATTTAGAAGTTCAGACATGGATGCAGGCTTCCATGCTTTCTTTGGCCCTCTTAATGTTAGCAGCTTGAACGCGCCGATAGTGAGGAGTTGTTCATCTGGAAAAAGAAAAAGAAAATTAGTACCTGTCTTCATATCTTATGTATTATAATCCAGACATTATAAAGTAAAAATTCTGTTACATATATATTCGCTTCAATAGATATGATGTAACCTCTTTTTTTCTCTTCTTCTTCTTCTATTTAAACCTCTTGGAGAATTAACAAGGAGAAGGCTAACTTTTGAGAAATTGAGTTATCCTCCCTATAAATGCATGGCCATGACCCTTTTAAAAAAATTGTCTGCTCCACGCACTTAACAAAAGTCAATTATTGACTAAGACTCTTTAATAGGTGAAATTATAGAGATGATAGGGAGTATTGAAAATTCTGGTCCATCTTGGAATGCCATACTGAATAACTTGCGGTTTTGGAAGATTTATGGTATCTCATTTAGACATGTAATTTTCATGCCACAAAATATCTATATTTCTACGATAATTTAAACTGACCTTTTGAAACACTAGAAAAATTTGTAATTTTTAGGGTCTCTGATTCAGGATTTCAGAAGTAACTTCCGCATAATTTGGCTTTTTTTGGGTTTTCCATTATCTTGTTGTGAACAGATCATTGATTGCGGGCAAAAGATACTACCTCTCATTATCTCAGAGGATCCTGAGATATTTGAGTATATTTCTAAAAACTGCCAATTCAAACCAATTTTTTTTTTTTTTTTTTTTTTTTTGATTTTACACTTCCCTTGAAAGAATTATGACTTCTCCTTCAGAGATCTCTTTTAGATCCGGTGCATAATCTGCTGATACCTCAAAAATCCAGGCACTAAGAAAAAAGTAAGCTGGAACAAAATCAAGTATTTGCATGAGCCATACATTACTGGTATCTTATCATCAGGTAAATTTAGCAGTCCTAAATGCGATAGCAAAGTTTGGTGATTGATATCTTCTTGTGCTTTTTGCTGGTGATGTTTAATTATTCTTTCCCTCCAATCCGGCCATCTGTTAAATAACAGGTCCTATTTTTCCGGATATAGATGTTTAAAATCTGATATATATGAGCTACAAGAGTAAAATAAAAAAGTATTAAAATCACTATTTAACTTGATCTGAGGTAGAAGCTTTGAGCACCCTCCAGACAAGGTAGGAGACTTCAGCAGGTACAAAACTAAACAAATACTAGCTAGAAATCAGTCTTCTAAATTGTTCTTAATTGCAGATATTGTTCTCAGTGCAAAGTATTTGGCTTGAAGGTCACAAAGAAGTTTCCACACAATATGTTTGTCATTCTGATTTGATAAAATATCAGTGATGACTTCAGTGTTGTTGAGTAACAAATACAAAGAGGCCTCTTAGTCCAGGCAATAGAGGATTTTTGAGGGAAAGTTTAGTCGAACTAGCAATTATGGGCTAACTACATGTTTTTTGGGTCGTAGAATCCGAATTTCGACTTGCCTGACAGATCCGACCCTCCCCCCGGCCGCCATTTTGAAAAAACGACTAAAATTTACGGTTTTTCCCCATTTTTCGCTCTTAACTTTTTTTTTGTTCAAAATATCGAAAATCCCGCCACTTCTATCAAAAGACGATTAAATTTGCAAGAGATTGGTATATACATATGTACACTTAACGTGAAAATCGCGAGAATGGGAGCGCAAAGAAGGCAGCGGGAGATATCGATCTTGCGCCATTAGATAAAAAGGGTCATCCAAAAAGTAAGGTTTCCTACCTTGTATCTTCCGAGCAAAAAGAGATAAATCAAATAGGTAAAAAAGCACATATCAGGCATACTCTAAGCTTTAAAACAAGCTCAAGTTTTGAAATCGGTCAAAGGATTCGCGAGTAAACTTAATTTTACTGAGACAACCTCCTGTTACCGCGTGCCCACCTCCGGGGTCAGGATGCACGGAGGGTCGATTATTGAAGACTCGGGTTATCGCCTCTATACATCACATCAACAAGGAATTTTAAAGTTTTCATTGAGTAGGCCTTACCTTACTTTTTAACGTAGTCTCCACATCTTTTTTGAAATTTCTGGTATCATTACAGCAGCTTCTTGATGCCTTCCGCGTAGAAGCTTTCGCCTTGACTCCAAAACCAGTCATTGACAGCGATCTGAACTTCCAAATCAGTTGCTTTGCGTAGGGAAATTTTCCCCCAATCCTTCAAACTCTCTTACTTTAGCTTCATGTGACTTTCATTTGTTCCCTAGCGGAAAAACTTCCACGATGGAAGCGATTTTCAACTGATTCAGAGGTACAGATAGCTGTCAATGACTGGTTTCAGAGTCAAGGCGAAAGCTTCTATACGCGGAGAGCATCAAGAAGCTGCTGTAATAATACCAGAAATGTCAAAAAAAGATGTGGAGACTACGTCAAAAAGTAAGGTAAGGCCTACTCAATGAAAACTTTAAAATTCCTTGTTGGTGTGATGTATAGAGGCGATAACCCGAGTCTTCAATAATCGACTCTCCGCGCATCCTGACCCCGGAGGTGGGCACGCGGCAATAGGAGGTTGTCTCTGTGAAATTAAGTTTACTCGCGAATCCTTTAACCGATTTTCAAAAACTTGAGCTTGTTTTAAAGCTTAGAGTATGCCTGATATGTGCTTTTTTACCGATTTGATTTATCTTGTTTCGCTCGGAAGATACAAGGTAGGGAACCTTACTTTTTGGATGACCCTCGTACTTAACACCCTTTATCCCTGCAACCCTTTACGTGTAAGTCATATTGAACAAACAGTTATTTCAATGTATCCTATATATTAAAATGCAAAGTCCCGAATCTTGGGGCATTAACTTTGAGAGAACCACCGGACCGATTTGCATGGGATTTTTTTTAAATGAAAGCCCCTGAGCTGTAGATTTGCAGGCTGTGATCGTTTTTTTGATTTTCTCAAATTTTCTCCCATAATTTTCTAAAATTGTCTTCGATGCATTAAAACGGAGGTCCGAATCTTTGGACGTTAACTTTGAGAGAACCACCGGACCGATTTGCATGGGGTTTTTTTTAAATGAAAGCCTGTGATCTGTAGATTTACAGGCTGTGGTCGTTTTTTCGTTTTTCTCAAATTGTCTTACTTTTATCAACGAGTGAAGTTTAGCTGGGCTCAAATTTTCTCCCATTTATTCAGACTAAAGTCCGCATTTTGGGGCATTAACTTTGAGAGAACCATCGGACCGATTTGCATGGGGTTTTTTTTAAATGAAAGCTTCTGATCTGTAGATTTGCAGGCTGTAATTGTTTTTTCGATTTTCTCAAATTTTCTTACTTTTATCGACGAGTAAAGTTCAGCTGTTTTGAGCGGTCATCCGGCCGCTACCTGCTTGCCCGTCCCTAGATACCCCCTCTAGGGTCTCAGCCACCCCTCCCACCACGTTCTTTCGGCTATCTCCGTTTTCTTTCGTATAGCTCTCCTTCCACCAACCTCAAAGAAGGAAGTTTGGGTCGCATCGTCGTTCGTCAGTTCGTCACTCGCCACCCACATTCCTTCGCCATCCCTCGGCTACTCCGCCTCACAGCTTCTTGATATCCTGGCATCTTATTCTCTGCGGCTTGACTGACCCTGACTTATTAACTGCAGTATTGCGTATTGCTAACAACACGTATTGTTACAGACATTTTATTCATCATTATTAAGTAGATTCAACTAATTGCTCCGATTCCAATTAAGGTACTCACCACCATTGCTAGCTGTGGAGGGCGTCCGGAGCAGCTAGTTATTTTATTAATACCCTTACATAAATGACTGGTTACGGATTTAGACAAAATCAAAAATATTTTCATAATGTGGACATGTTCGAGTAGTAAGTGAGTTAGTCCAATCGTGGGCGTTTGGTAGCTCGGTGCAACGAAGTTCTAACTTTTGGTGACGGACAGGTAGATGGGCCTGGTTCTCCTCCATAGACATCACAGCCGGCGTTGATCTCTGACTCTAACACAGCATCCAGAATATGAAGCTAGAAGTCAGACGAAAAAAAAAAGAAAAGGAAAGGAAAGAAAAGAAAAGGGGGGAAAAAGGGACCTAAATTGATGGAAGATTAAAATGTTCGCATCACTAATCCCAAAAAGAAAAAGCATTCTGGTTTCCTGTACCTAGCAGTCTGGTGTTCATATATGGTGTGTATTTCTGATAATCCTTACCGAAATTTCTGGTAATGATTATCAGGAATATATGTCACTAACGAACACCTGATTGTTTAATAAAGCTTGCCATGGTATTTTTTCTATGCAAGAAGTTTTTGATAACAAGCGAGCTGTGTAAAAGAAGTAACAAACCTTTAGGTTCATTGTTTATTTCTGAATGTGGGCTTTCTGGAAGGTCTTGAACTTCAGTCATGACAGCTTCAAAATCTTCTTCTGTACTTGGCTCGTCGAAAAAGTCATAAGCTTCAACATCATCCTCCTCCTCCTCAGAGTCCGCTAAAGCAATTTCAGGCATGTTTTCGCATGTATCACTGCAGTTGATGCACAATGCTGAGCATTTAAGCTCACATTTCCTGCAACCGCACGCGCCTGGACAACTCGTTTTGCATTTGCAGGATTATCAGAAATACACACTATATATGAACACCAGACTGTTTGATACAGTAAAACAGAATGCTTTTTCTATTTGGTATTAATGATGCGAAAATTTTAATCTTCCTTCAATTTAGGTCCCTTTTTTCCCCCTTTTCTTTCCTTTTCTTTTATTTCCTTTCCTTTCCTTTCCTTTCCTTTTCTTTTTTTTTCGTCTGACTTCTAGCTTCATATTCTGGATACTGTGTTAGAGTCGGAGATCAACGCCGGCCGTGATGTCTATGGAGGAGAACCAGATCCATCCACCTGTCCGTCACCAAAAGTTAGAACTTCGTTGCACCGAGCTGCCAAACGCCCACGATTGGACTAACTCACTTACTTAACAAACATGTCCACATTTTGAAAATATTTTTGATTGTGTCTAAATCCGTAATCAGTCATTTATGTAATGGGATTAATAAAACAATACATTGAAATAACTGCTTGTTTAATATGACTTAAACGTAAAGGATTGCAGGGATGCAGGGTGTTAAGTATCTAATGCCGCAACATCGATATTTCCCGCTGCCTTCTTTGCGCTCCCATTCTCGCGATTTTCACGTTAAGTGTACATATGTATATACCAATCTCTTGCAAATTTAATCGTCTTTCGATAGAAGTGGCGGGATTTTCGATATTTTGAACAGAAAAAAAGTTATGAGCAAAAAATGGGGAAAAACCGTAAATTTTAGTCGTTTTTTCAAAATGGCGGCCGGGGGGAGGGTCGGATCTGTCAGGCAAGTCGAAATTCGGATTTTACGACCCAAAAAACATAAAGTTAGCCTATAATTGCTAGTTCGACTAAACTTTCCCTCAAACCTCCTATTTTGAGCTCTATTGCCTGGACTATCTGGCACAAGAAATATTGAAGTATTTTTTTTTTTTTNTTTTTTTTTTTTTTTTTTTTTTTTTTTTTTTTTTTTTTTTTTTAGATTTATTTATTTTATAGAAATATTGAAGTATTGCGCATGAGGATTCTATTCTGCGTCTCAAAAAGTAGTGCAGACAGAAACATGTCTTTATGGAGGGGGTGGTCCTAAAAATAAAAAAAAAATGACTTCAAGCTACTAGTTATTTCAACCAATTTTTAAATGCAACTATGTCGTATAGTCACAAAAAGTCGCAAATGTTCCTGGGCAGGATTGAAGTTGGGCCTACTTAGAATGAGAAAATGCTGACCACCCAGAGTATTATCCCTAGTTATCGTGAAAAGTTTATCTAAAGTTGGCAACCAAGATGCTGTGTATTTCTTACGGGACAGCTCCCTCTCGGTCGAATGGACCTCCACTTCAAACTCATATTTAAATGTGTTTTTGGAAGAAAATAAAGAAAACAAGTATACCCTCGTGTCAGAAATGTTGTGCTGATCACGAATATCATAACAATATTTGGAAATTTGGCATGTCAATTTTCGATTTTTGTCCACGGAATGCCGCACTGTGCGCTGCCTGCTCGGAACGCGCACTGACGCCTACAAACCTAAGGGGATACTTCAAGCATTGCGCAATGCGTGAGGTAGCCTTTTAGGTTTGTAGGCACTAGGCATCAGTGCATGTTTCGCGTTGTTAGCACGCCGCGTGGCGCCCCCGGCGGCTAAAATATATCGTGTTCAAATTCTTTCCATCGGTTGGCAGCCTCCGGTAGGTATATAATGATTGTAACGTTGACTCAACGATCAGGAGGCACCGGGTTCAACTTGCGACCAGGTGACCAGATGGTCTCAAATAATGATTGCCTAAAGCTGGTTGCTGATATGGGAATGCGAGAGGAAGGGACTCCCTTACACCGATACAACAATTTGGATGTAAAAAAAAGGTTGCGCGAAAAGAAGGGTGCTCAGAAAATGCTGATTTACCCGCCACAACAGTTAGTTTTACATCTTGGCAATGCTAAAACAAGCAGGAAGCTCCAACCCATTCGCGTCGGAAAGCGGCTCTGGCGACGGTAGGTAGTTGTTACGCGTTTACGGTTTCCTTGGTAACCTTTGTTTGCTATCAGCTGATGTCGAGTAGTATGACTAGGAAGCTTCAACCACGGCATTCTTCGAAAAAAGCGCGAAAACTTAAAGATTTGAATTTTCAAATTTTAAACGTAAAGTACATTTTTTCCAGTGCGAGATTAAAGCACAGACCCGTTTTGAATTATTGACAGTATCACCATGATTCCAAAAATACACTACACAACATAGTATTCGCTCACAGGAAAAAGATATCAATTAAAATAAAATCAGTCCCCCCTAAACAGCAGAAAATGGCGCCGATTCCCATCAACCAACACGCGGTCTCTCCAATGTAACATGGTCCGTTGATACTCCCCAGCTGGGACCGTCCGGAATAGCAGCTCTAGTGCAAGCACCAGAGCCGCTAATAACTGCTGTGGCGGGTGATGATTCAGCAATTTATAAGTTCTCGAACCTTTTTTTTTCTTTCTTTTCCTCATCCCAAATGTTGAATCAACTTCACTATTTTCCGGTGTAATTGCAAGCGCGGAATGACTCTCTTGGAGGTATTTAAAGTGCTAAAAAAGTTTAAAAATGAGGCCCACTGGGAGAAAAGTCGCTTGGATCCAGAGTTCAAACTCTGGCGAACATAGAGAAGAAAAAATACACTCTCTGTGCATTCGGACCTTGAAATCAGAGCTTGAGATCCGCCTAAATCAAGAGACTCTGCTCTTCGATACAATGAAAAATCAAGTGGAATCAAGAGTATTTTTTCTTGTCCATGTTCTTAAGAGTCTGGAATCCAGATCCAAGCAACGTTTTTTTTCCAGTGCCCAATAACGTCTGTCTTGTCTTTGTCTGTGCCACTTATGTATCCCTTAAACACCACGACAAAATAATGAGACAAACGGACGAAATAAACATATTATGGAAAAGTCCTTAAACACCACGACAAAATAATGAGACAAACAGACGAAATAAACAAAGTATGGAAATAGCGCAAGCAGGGAAAAGACTCGTGTTGATGACGGCGCAGAGATACAACTATTCGTGCTTGATGGATGTCCGTGTTGCATCTGCAAAATTGAAGGCGCGCTAGCGTCAGGCGTGAGCTGAAATGCTCCGCCCCGTGCTACAAACAATGAGAATGAGATGTCGCTCAGATTTGGAAGGAAAGTTAAAAATCGAGACCTGAATACGTCTCTCCTATCTTCGGATTGGTTGCCCTCGGTGTTTTTATTTCATTCCCTTTTAGGATGTATTAGTAAAATCTGTAGTAATCTATTATTAAAATTGTCCATTATCTGAATTATGTTAAAAAGCACTACGTATTATTAATCTCTGATTGAATAAGAGATGGAGAATTTCCCAGAAATAACTCTGAAAACGAGCCCTCGCACGACAATTAAATATGAACTTCAGTCGATGAATTAAATATCGATGCGATTGATTTTCCCTTTCATTTCCAGGTCCCCTATCCGTGTGTCTTATCCTGATGTCTTTTGCACTATCCTGCACCAAAAGACGATTAATAAATGCAAACTGATGAACTTGAAAAGAAAATTGAAACTTCTTGAGTTTTTAACCATACCTACTGCCGTACTAAGGAAAAACGTCGTATGAACTTTCGAGAGTTGCCAAATTTCCTTCGTTAAATTTTAATTTTTGAAGGAAGCTATGGATATTTTTCCTTGGATATTTCAGTAAAATTGCGAACAAAATTATCTGAAAAATTGCAGAAAGAACGTCTACAAGTTTTCCCGAAAATTAATGATTTATTAAAGGAGATTTGGCAACGCCTGAAGGCTCATACGGCGTTTTTCCTTAGCGTGGCAGTACACTCATGCGCACGCTGGCCAAAAAATTACCAACTCTCCGTCAGAGCGAATGAGCTCGAAACAGAACATTTCGACGCGGCGTAAGTCGGCAATCACATACCTCGGTTTGCGACGTCGCAAACTTCCTGTCATACTCTATTTTTTAAACGGAAAACTACTCAACGGCAATTCCTTAAAACTACCGTGATTTTTCCTCTCTATGCGAAGAAAATTCTGCATAAACTTTAAGGAATGATGTCAATTTGTTCTCCTTTGAAAAACTAACGTAGAGGCGGAGATTTTCAGACACCGCGAACGGAACATGTGATTGCGGACTACTTACGCCGTTGATTCGCAATTTCGCATTTTTCATGCGTCGCTGACACCTCTATCCGTGACGTGTGATCAGTTGCGTGGCGTGAATTACGATATATCGATTGTTATGCCATTTAAACCTATGGAAAAGGATCGATAAATAGGGTGTTCGCAGCATAGAGTACAATAGAGTCGCAAAGAACTGGATCGCCGATGAAGTCACTTTTCGAGGCTGTTTTGTCCAGTTCTCCGGAGACTAGTGTGCGGCGACTAGCGATGACGCATACGCAGAGACTCGCGCTCAGCGCTCCCCACTCCCGACAGTCCCGACTCGGCTCCGTTCGTCGGTTAGACACACACTGAACCAGCTAAAATAAGTAGGCCGGTAATAAGTCTGAAATTGAGTCCATATATGAATATTATCTCGGAGTAACATACATTAATGGATTCATTATGGCTTTGAATATCTATTTCAAGCAAAATTTGCACAAATTAATACCGATGGAATTAAAAAAAGTCGAAAAAACACAAGCAGTCGTTGATTTCTCCATAAGCCACCGTGTAAGAAAATGCCGGTTGGTTCACACTTGGTATAAATCAGAAATTAAATCCCTGTATGAATATTATCCAGGAGTAATATACATCAATGGATTCATTATGGCTTTGACTATCTAATTATAGCAAAATTTGCACAAATTAATATCGATGGAATTAAAAAATGCCGAAAAAACACAGGCAGTCGTTGCTTTTCCCGTAAGCCGCCGTGATAAGAAATGCCGGTTGGTTCACACTTGGTATAAGTAAGAAATTAAATTCCAATATGAATATTATCCAGGAGTAATATACATCAATGGATTCATTATGGCTTTGACTACCTTTAAATAGCAAAATTTGCAAAAATTATTGCTGATTGAATTATGAAATACCTAAAACACACAAGCAGTTCTTGATTTCTCCATAAGCCGCCGTGTTACAAAATGCCGTTGGGTTCACAAATGGTTCACAATTTTCGGAGCACACGCGGCTCGGAAACGCCTGTTCATGGATTGGCTTCATCGCCGCTCCAGTACTTTGCGACTCTATTGTACTCTATGGTTCGCAGCGAACACCTTAAGAATCGATTCTTCACCATAGGTTTAAATGGCATGACAATCGATGTATCGCCATTCACGCCACGCCACTGCGTGTGATCCAGAGCAAAAAATAGAAAATATCAAACAAAAAAACGAACGAACCTGAAAACATGGATTGCTCGGAGGAATACTTTTTTCCGTGTTCGGAGAATTGCCACATCCAAACGGAATGTTTTCCTTTCCCATAGGGTTTTTTTTCCTTTTTTAAATTCGGAGCTTGGTATTCTAGTCGGCCTCTGATATCGTGGAAAGCAGGACGCGCGGTATGACGCTCCTAGTATCCTCTCGCACCATCCATCTCGTCCTTCTTTCGGAAGGAGAAAAAACTCAACGGTTATTGGCCCCCTTTCAATTCGCTGACAGACCTATCTTTAGGGACGATGCAACTTCCGTTTTTGCTGCGTGTGTGTGTTCTTCTCCTGATAAATAGTCGTGTAAGTAAAAACTGTAGATATAAATGGACTACATTTTGCATTATAAGACTAGTATTGTAGGCTCATTTAATGTACAAAATACGTGCTATTTATATTTGTATGCAGACAAGAGCATAGCTTCATCTTCCTCTTTTCTCCCTCATTTTTCCTATGTTTGCTATCGTTATAGTCCGTTTCCTCTTTTTCGGCTTTTTCTCTCATCTTTTTCTTACCTCTTTTCCTCTTTTCCTTCTCTATTTCACCTCTCCCTTTTCCACTTCTTTTCCTTTTCATTTTTTTCTCTTCCTCCTCTCTTTTCCTCTTTTTCGCTTACTAAATATGATACTACTACTACTAATATTACTACTACTACTACTACAACCACTACCACTACAACCACTACCACTACAACCACACCACTGCCTCTACCACTAACAACTACTACCACTACCACTAATACTACTACTTTCAGCCTTTCCTCCGCCTTCTTTATCTCTATACGCGAGACTACTTTTTCACGAAAAAATGATCGCGGAACTTTTATTTAAAATTTCACCGATTCTTGATAGCAATCTTTGGAATGATTTCTGAAATATTCATAAATGATGCTGAACAGTGTCTGAGGAAGAGTGCAAATTACGAATGGAAATTCTGCAACACTGAAATGTCATTAATTTTTTTTTTCCGAGAAACGATAATCAGTGCTGGATTCACACTATTCGGAGGGAAAATCAGAGTCAGGAAAAATAAAGTATTAGAAATAAAGTTACAATGAACTCTAATGAGCTGAAGCGCAAAATTAGGACGGGAAAGTATTCAGCTCAGGTAGGTACAGTAGAGATGCTTACGAACTTCGGAGTGTAAAATGCTCGTTGTAATTCTAAGTTCGATGTTCGGTTTCGTGTAGCTTTTAAGGTGATTCGATGGATGCCATATTTTGTGTCAGAACGGCATGCGATATATCGCATCAATTGGTTCCATTTTTTCGGCTACTCGTCATTTTTCTCCAATTTTGAGATCGCAATTCTGTTCTCCGTAGACTAAAGCACTCACTTACCAATTTCAACAGAGAAATTCAACGTAATAAAGGCGTGGTTTTTCTAGAGAGAAAACATCGCATTCGATACTGATATTGAAACTGCACTCGAATGCGATATTTTCTCTCTACAAAAACCACGCCTTTATTACGTTGAATTTCTTTGTAAAAATTGGTAAGTGAGTGCTTAAGTCTCCTGACAACAGAATTGCGATCTCAAAATTGGAGAAAAATGACGAGAAGCTGAAAAAATGGAACCAATTGATGCGATATATCGCATGCCATTCTGACACAAAATATGGCGTCCATCGAATCACCTTAATTCCCACCAGAGCACAGTGCGAATCCCTGACTACCCCACTCTACTCTACTATCCTGTTCTTTTATTATTTTTTTGTTTGTTTGCGAATAGGGAAACAAAAAAATCGGGAAAAACGCGAGAAAAAGGCAAAAAGCTGCTGATATGAAAACGTAGCGGGAATTTTGCAGAGTTGCCTTGACATTAACGTATGCAGACAGTACGTCTACAGAAAAAAGGGCTACAAAAGAAGGGCTACCTTTTTTAGTCTACAGTCAAAACGTCTACATTCAAATGCCTACAAAAATTATGTCTACAGTCAATTAAGTCTACGCTATTAAAATGTCCACGGTTTGTTTGCCCCCTTAGAAAATGTCAAAATATTTATGTTCGCCACTAAAAATATTTGAAATAGTTAGTTAGTTACTTACTTAATTTACGACGATCAGCAACCAGGCTGTTTACGTCGGGGATCAGGAAACCTTAAATTTTTCAATTTGATTGCTTAAAGAGTTTTAAAATTTCGGTGACCGCTATCAGATCATCTGAGCTTCATGGATGGATGTTATACGGAGGAGGGAATTTTGATGCGTGTAGCATATATGTAGGTAGCTTTTTATGGGCAAGAAAGCAAAATATCGTCGATTGTAAAGGGGAATGTTGTCGGTTGATGGTCATTTGCACAAATTTTGTGCAAATGATCAAAAAAAGGTGGTCATTTGCACACAAAAAAGGAATGGTCATTTGCATTAATTGCACGATGCGACAGCACAGCATGTTAGATGACTAAAAAACACAAACTTTTTCAAGTTTTTTGTGGCAGATTTTCTACTTCATGTAGGTCTCCGCTTGGAGCTCAACTAGGTTTTCGGATACTAAGTAAACAGAGGGGCCCTTACGGTAAAAAAGCATCTCGAAGTGCCTGTGAAATATTTCAGCACCATTTGACGTTCGCGGCACTGTGTCATCGTCTACCGGTTCAGCAGCCGAAAGAGTAGGAGGGAAAGGTGCATCAAGCCTTATGACCGCGCAACATATTCGCACTACACACCATATGATTTATTACCATCTTTTAAATTTCTTTGAAAAGTTTACACATGGTTTTTGGTTATCACGCTTTCCTTGTTTTAAGTAGTTTCTGAAATACGAAAAGCCATGTTACGCGGCCCGTAGATTACTGAGTGGATACTGAATAAGAGCGCTACTAGTCGAACGCAACGTCTTCATATTGTCACTTAAGCGTTGCCATTTTCTACCAAAAATAAATAATTATGAATATTTGTGCAGATGTCAATATTTTGAGGAAAACAAAAATTTGTGCAAATGACCTGCAATGATGTTGGCATGGAAAGCAGAATGGAACTGGAGATTTTGAAATTAAATGAAATAAAAATATAAATAAAATATATATGAAATATACATGTTGATCTTTATCGGATCAATTATTCGCGAAGTGTGACTTACAATTTTAACGCATCAGCTCCTGCAGCATCCACAGCCTCGTCCTGTCTTGGGGGACACACTTTAAGTCGGTGGCTAATGGCCCGTAGGTATAGTCCGACAGTATTATCAGTATGATATTCGTTGTAGCGCCGCACAATTACCTCAACTTACCGCATATTCATGACATATGGATTACATTTTGCAATAAGGAACCACTATCTCTGGCTCTTCCATAAAAGCACGTATCTGCATAGGGAAATCAATGGCATATATGTTGTTTCTAAAATGAGCCAGAAATAGTGGTTCCTTATTGCAAAATGTAATCCCATATGTCCGTGACATAGGATGTCGGATCCGAGTATGCCCAGCTCCTATTTGCAGTAGTAGAATTTCATTATGTCTTTGCTCCTTCCTCAACGCTTGTACAGATAGCAACAGAGGAGTTGGCAAGAAATGAGAGGGTGTCATGCAACTCCCTGGGGGAGGAGGGGACTTCGGCGGTTAGTTTTAGGACGTCAGAAAGCTCTGACAATGTGGCAAAATATATTTCTCAGAGCAACATTCTAATTCAAATTGTTAGTGCATTGAAAAAGAGAAGAAAACTGAAATTTCAAATGAAAATCTGTCTGATGACGCACGTAGCATTACATTGCTGCAGCACTTGTGTAAAAAAAAGCCCCTCGTCTAAAAGGTTTTTAAGAAGTAGCGAATCCGCTACTCGCACTCACTGTCCTGTCAGAACAATCCTGATCGGTCTACAGACATTCGCTCTTCTGACGTAAGGGCGTATCTCAATTGCCACGCGAGCCCTAATTTACATACAGAGTTATTCAAAAGTCACGTACCACTGGTCATAACTTTAGTTCTAATTGAAATGTCGACTTGCGGTTTGTGACGTTTTTCCTCATATCGAGGGGAAAACTTTTTAGGTGCTTTCCAGTTTTTGACCCCCTCAGGGGCAATTCAAAATTTTAAATGGCCACCCCCCTCATGGCCAATGGTGCGTGACTTTTGAATAACCCTGTACAAACCCATACTCTTCGGGGCTCATCCAGAAATTGATATAATTGAAAACAGAGGAAAAAGCGGAAACAAGGCTAAAATACAAAAATTGATAAATTTAAGTACTGAAATTGATATACGCCCTTACGTCAGAGGAGCGACGAATATGCGGCACTCAAAGGGCCAAGAGCCCATATTACAGGCCAACAATCTGATTCCATAATATCGTCGCCTTCCTGACATAAGGGCGTAACGACACTCGACGATGAACCCTGTTGTCCATAAAACTCAGTGCTTTCTCGAGCTCATCTCAAATTGTAGTTACGCCCTTATGTCAGCCAAGCGACGATGATACCATCCGAGTATCACGTGAGGCAAAAAGCCTGAGGTGTGAAGTGCCGTCAGGGGTTAGAATGCGAAGCGGTCGGGGGGTGCAAGGGGGTTGGGAGGCTAGGGGGGGGGGCTATTCCGTTTATTAATCAAATCTTCAAAACAGATAAAAGGGGTTAGTTGGAATCAGTTATAATACATTAGGCTCTAACATTTTAAATTGATCAAAGTGAAGGGATTCCAAAGATATCATCTCCATTGTACTTCATTCCAATGTCGATTCCTTCTTCGATACCGGTGTTCTGCCTTTGAGCAAGAGCACAATATACAACGTCAGCGGGTGTGAACTCCTTAAAACAAGATAGGATTTTCACGTCCTCTTCATCTCCATCAGCAACTGTGGAGGGGTCGTCAATCTGCCGGGCGGATAGCATCCACCAAGCGGTTCCTAACGTCACAGAGCTCAATAATCAAGAATTCAGAATGAAGTTCCTGTAAGTGCAGGCCTCTATTAACAGGGAGAAATTCTCCAAGATTTCGTAGGTCACTAGGGTTCCAAGTCTTTGAGCAGCTTCTTGTGGGTTGGGCTCCGGTTTTGGGCACAGCTTTAAGCAGCATCCTTGTGCGGTGATGAATCCTACACCATTGATTAAGTCGGACAGCGCCTTCGGCATGTATACTTCTTTTGGCATAACGATTCTTCCTTCTACTCTTCGTCCTGAAACGTTCGAATACACATGGTCGATACGTGATTTCAACAAATAACGACACACAAGCACAAATTGGGCTTCTGTTATCATGGCTCAGGCGTTGTACCAACGCAATTGAACTTAGTCACCTTCACATAAATTTTCTCTCTTGACGAGTTCAATCATTTTTCGTTTGCACTATTAGGAGAAAAGTAAATCGCTCCAACAAAGCAAACTGTTCTTGTCGCAAAAGAGTTGAGTGGCATGTGAACCTTTAATAAAATTTCATTATCTTAATAATAGGTTTTCTTTTCATAATGATAATGCTTTGATTTGATAATGTTGTTGATTATCGCGGCTAGAAAATATATTGTCAGGTGATGGAATTTTACTATGGGCTCATATGTCATTTTATTCTTCTCTGACCAAAACAATGGTCCTTGTGATAGTAACTCCGTTTTCTCCGTACGAAAGAGGTTTTTAGGTTAAATTTTAGGGCTCCTTGGAGATAAATTTCCAAAATCAAAAAATTCAAAATTTTCTTTACAAAATCCGCTTTTGAACGGGAAAATATTTTTTCTCGACCTATGTGCGGGCATTTGCGCGCTCTGTTCGAAATTCGCGGAGCGAGAACTGCACTTTAAAGTTCATATGCGTACGTGAGTGCGTGAGAACCCGATTATTTTTTACGTGTACGGTGTTTTCGATTCAGGGAGTGAAAAAGCATTTAAAACTCTCTCACCTAGACTCGCGATTCAGAAAAAACTGCTGCTCCAACACCAAAAAGTCTGTGAAATAAAAAAAAATTTCTGTGGAAAATGTGAGCTCAGAGGTCCCTCTGAGAATCGTATGGAATTAAGAATGAGAGAAAAAAAAAACATGAACAAATATGTGAATAAAAATGCAAGTTCGATGTAAGTATCCAGGAATGTTATGGTACGAATTCCGATTTCCCCTGAAAGCACTTTTATGATCAAGATGACGAGCACGCAAACCGCAGTTAAGGAAAAGTTATGCAAGTTGGAAAAATAGTGCTGGTCCACATCATTTTGCAAGGAAAACAAGGCCTAAAAGTTCAAAAATTACGTTCAGAATTAAAAGTGCTATCTTCAAAAGTTTTTTGAGCTCAAATGAGTAATCAGTAAATTTACTTGTTAGAGCTCAAAATTTGTGAACTTCTCAGTCTTGTTAACCCCTCTAAATAGTGTGGACCCAGCACTATTTATTTCACCACCCCAGGTAGCATTTTTCAACGGAAAAATCGCGATATTTTGAAATCAAGTTGCGATTTTTTCACATTTTTGACGATAAAATCGCTGAGATCCGCCCAAGCAATTGTCCTCAACCGTGTCGTGTTTTCATCTCTACACAATCGCGTTCGATAAAATCAAAATTTTATCTCGATTTACCGAAGGATTTTTCGTTTGATGATATTGCGACAAATCGCCGTCGGTAAAATCGCGATTTTATCGCAATTTTTTATCCGATAATATTGCCATAAATCAACGTCGATAAAATCGTGATACATTCTCCGATCAAATTGCATTTTATCGCGATCACTGCTACTTTGGACCTTGCATACCAGTTCGGGCCACATTTCTCAGTGTGTTTTTCTTGTAAAAGCATATGCACTTCACTGTAAAAAATACACTTTCCTATGTAAACAGCGGTGTGTTTATTTGAACGCTTTGTCTTTGGATACAGCTTGTGGGTGAAAACAAACCTATGTGTTCATTTAAGGTGATTCGATGGAGGCCATTTTTTGTGTCAGAGCGACGTGCGATATATCGCACCATAGCTCCATAATGTCAACCACTTGTCTTTTGCTTCAAATTTTGAGATAACACTTTTGTTGTCATGAGACTGAAGATTTCATGTACCTTTGACAAAGAAATTTAGCGTAATAAAAGCGTGGTTTTTTCAGAGGAAAAATATCGCATTCGATACTGATATCGAAACTGCACTCCAATGCGATGTTTACCCTCTATAAAAACCACGCTTTTATTACTCTGAATTTCTTTGTCAAATTTGGTACATGAGTTCTTAAGTCTCATGACAACAGAAGTGCGATCTCAAAATTCGAAAAGCATGAGAAGTAGCTGAAATTATGGAACAAATCTATGCGGTACATCGCACGTCGATCTGACACAAAAAATGGCCTCCATCGAATCACCTTAACACGCTGACGTGTTCTATTTTACTTTTTTATCATCGGCTTAGAGTGCTCAACTACAAGATCAATTTGTGGGTAATACACCATCACCCGATAAAGGGAACACGAAATACTGAATTTTTTACTTTCGGACAAAAAATCGCAATGTACGAGTATTTACTAGTGTTTTCAGTATTTTTGAGAATTCAAAGGTCAGAAAATTCATTCTTGAGGATATGTCAAATTAGAGTACGTATTCGGAGAGCGTGGGTACTGAGTCGTGTAGAGACCCTCGGATTGCAAAAGATGGCGGCATACCTCTAGGTGGGAGCGAGTAGCGGGATTGTGGTGTAGTTGTGTGAGATCCAATGAAATTAAAATTACACCCAAAGGTGTATGACTTATACTATTATTCTAATGACTACTATTTTTTTTTTTAAATATAAAAATCGTTAAAAATCTCATCAGTTTTAGAGTATTCTGAAAGGACCAAACTTTGACCTATGACATAACAACCCATATCAAATATAACCTCAGTGTCTGAAATATTATGCATGTAACATCTGCTATTTTTTTTTCTTAATATAAGAGATCCATGAGATTTGAAATGCCTGAACTTATGAGAGATGGAGCCTTCGGTGAGCGGTAACGGAACTTTCCCTATAAAGGAACACTACCTAAATAATAACAGATTTCTGAGTGTTAAATGGGCTGCATTTTGCAATTTGGAACTATAAATTCTGGCTCCTCTGGAAAAACACTTATGTGCATAGGGAAACCAATGGCACATACGTTGTTTTTAAACCGGGCCAGAATCTATAGTTCCAAATTGCAAAATGCAGTCCAATGAATCACCGCCGAGGACTTTACATTAAAAATTCCACGTGCTACGCCGCACGGAAAAAACAAGACTAGTGTTGAGCACTACTGGCCGTTTAGTGGGGAGTAGTTGAGGGCTAGCGTCTAAGCGCTGTACAGCTCAACACCGGAAGGCAGTACAGGTGGACACTGAGCATGAGTAGTGCTAATCAGATGCCGCGAGACGTAGTTGCGCTTAACAGGTGTAAATTCACCCAAATGACGACGGAGTCACCATAGCCTGGTGGTAACGCGCTGGTCTACCACCGGCGCAACCCGAGTTCGATCCCTGGCGGAGGCATTTCATATTTTACGCTCGCTCCAAAGTCACTTTAGGGCTTGACACTACTTCTTCCTTAGTGACCCAGCCTCGAGCTGTTTAGTGCCCAGCACTCCTCTGACTTGTTGGCTCCATTTGACCTAACCCTCGTTAGTGCCCAGCACTAACATGTAGGTCCCAACCCTAAACTCGTTTTTTCCGTGTAGTGCTAATCAGATGCCGCGAGACGTAGTTGCGCTTAACAGGTGTAAATTCACCCAAATGACGACGGAGTCACCATAGCCTGGTGGTAACGCGCTGATCTACCACCGGCGCAACCCGAGTTCGATCCCTGGCGGAGGCATTTCATATTTTACGCTCGCTCCAAAGTCACTTTAGGGCTTGACACTACTTCTTCCTTAGTGACCCAGCCTCGAGCTGTTTAGTGCCCAGCACCACTCTGACTTGGTGGCTCCATTTGACCTAACCCTCGTTAGTGTCTAGCACTAACATGTAGGTCCTAACCCTAAGCTCGTTTTTTCCGTGCGTATAAACGACAATTGGACTACATTTTGCAATTTGGAACTATAAATTTTAGCCCGGTTTAAAAACAACGTACGTGCCATTAATTTCCCTATGCAGAAAAGTGTTTTCACAAATGAGCCAGAATTTACTGTTCCAAATTGCAAAATGCAGTCCAATTATTTCCCAGCTGCCAGCTCTCATGCGAAAATTACCGATTCCGGTGCACTATCCCCCTTCGCCAAAAATCACAGTCTTCCGTGCGTCTAAATCAATTTCAGTGTACTGCTCTTAATGATGCGAATATGACTTAATGAATTTCCTTGGACAATTTCATCATTCACTCGATGCGAGGAGGGAGAAGATTTTTGTGAAACCCCTTTTTTTAGTGCTCTTAATGATACGAATATGACTTAATGAGTTTCTCTGGACAATTTCATCATTCGCTCTACGCGAGGAGGGAGAAGATTTTTCTGAAACCCCTTTTTTTTGTATTTGCCGAACGTATACCTAAACGTGACATTTTTGAAACTACAAACACGCGAACCTCGGTTCGCAATATCGCAGACTTCCTGAGGTAATTTATGTTTTAAATGGAAAAATACTCTACGTCATTTCTTGGAAACTGCCCTGCTTCATTTCGCGTGTGAAGAAAATCCTGTAATAATTTCAAAGAAGAGTGTCTGTCCGTTCTTCATTGATAAAATAAAATGTTAAAGTCACAAATTTGTTGCGCCTCTCAGAACATGTATGATGCAATCAAGGAACTTCGGCTTTAAACCCTTTGTTTTATTTTAGAAAAATTGCTTTAAATGTTGAAGTTGGAACAAAGAAAGGAAGGACGAAAAATGGAAATAACTGTATTGGTCAAACAAAAAATTCAGCGCTGGTTCAAAAACTCACCCGGTTGAAATTTCTACATTTTTCAGCTAATCGCCTCGCGAGATCAAGGAAATGGATTATTCGGAAGGAATGGTAGACGGCATCATCCCCTTCAAAGGGCCATTTCTTTTGGGGAAGCAGTATCAAGGAATTGGTGCAATGTCTGGTCAGTGAAAAAATTCCATTTTCTCATTGAATTAAGAGGCCACCATCAGCGTCTGGTACCAGGCAGGACATATTCGTGCACCCTCCTGTACATTAGCATTAAGGCACGGTAGTTACATTCGTAGCTTAAAAAGAATCATATTTGAGGGGCTTGGAGGACAAGACGCACAATGCAGTTTTCGAAAAATTGAAATAATAATGGAGATGGTGCATGTGTGAGAAATTTGCGATTTGAATGTTGAATCTTAAAAGTTCGCGAGAAACACGATGGCGCCACTAGTTTTGTCTGAATCAACTCCCAAGCTCAAGAAAAGCTCTCGAGTTGAGGCCAAAAGGGATATCCCACTCTACCCTGAAAGTCCACGTCTACATCAAGACAAAATCTCCATGCAAGGAGCAAATACGTTAGCAGGGTTGCCGTGTTTTCAGTTTTGGAGTCCTCAAATAAAGTGGCGGCCCTGTCAATGTATTTGCTCCCTATCTTTGTATGGATAGTTTGACTTGATGTAGAGGTGGACTCTCAGGATAGCGTGGGATATCCCCTCTATTTTGGCCTCAACTTGAGAGCTTTTTTGAGCTTGGGAGTTGATTTCAAAGAAAACCAGTTGTACCATCGTGTTTCTCACGAACTTTTATATAAGAATCAACAGTCAAATCGCAAATTCCTCACACGTGCAACATCTCCATTTCAAGTTAAAGTAGTCTGATTGCATATTTTGAGAAAAATTTGCCCCCAAATTGCAATTATTAAGCATCAAAAAGGTCAGTTTGAACTGTTGTCTGCCTCAAGGATCCGTGTAATTTCAAAACTTCTAACACGTAATCTCGAAATAGTAAAAACTGTACTTATGCGCCTTGTGCTCCAAGCTCTTCGTTCATAAGGAAAAAACTCGAGGGATGAAATCGGTTGTCACAAAACTATCTGCCAGAAAAGCAAAGTCAACGAAAAGCGAATACATAGGAAAGAAAAACTAATGGTGGTTACGCACCTGGCTACACGGAGAACAATGTCTCAGTTACACGAACCGTGATTTTTGAGTACATCAAAATTTCTTATTTTTCCTGATGTCAGCAAAATATCGAAGGATTTTTTCCGGAGAGTCTGTAGATATAACCACACAAAAAAATTAACTCATGAAAGGCAGTGACCCTATAATAATGGTAATGATTATAAGTCAAATCCACATTCATAAAGAAACAACTTAAAACGGGGCAAAGGCCGCCAATAATAAAAAGAATCACATAAAATAAAATATGAAAGCCGGGACGTTTCGCAGGGAATCAGGGATCACACCCGCATTTTCAACCGGCAAAACAAGAAAATTCAAAGGACACTATGAGCCTCACCGTTGTTATTGTGAGACTGATAGTTCACAGTGATAGTGTGTTTTGTGTTCAAAATAAACGAACAAGTGCAACTTCTTATTTTATTTTATGTGTTTCTTTTTATTATTTGCGGCCTCAGTCCCGTTTTAAGTTGTTCCTTTGTTGTAGTGTTTCGGGCCAGTTAAGTTGTTTTTTCTATCAACGTCCATACATACTTAATGCGAGACCAATGAACACACCAGTGAAAGTGGGAGTTAAAAATATATTAATTTTCTCCATATTGTTCCCGTCGTTCATTCGCGTCTTTAACCAAGAGGTTGCTTGCAAGGTTAGTCTAGTAGCCTGCGCGTCTTATTCAATTTATTGCTCCCGGGTTCTAGTAGTAGTACTAGTAGTGGCGACAAATTTTTACGGAAATATTGAGTGGATCGATGCTGAAATATACTCCTCTAGGCCTGAATCCTTGAAAAATTGAAAGGCCCGCAACGAATATGAACAATCGCCCTGATCCCTGCACTGGAAAAAAAAAACACATTTGATCTAGAGTCCAGACTCATGAAAACATTGACAAGAAAAAAGACTCTTGATTCAAGCAGATTTAAGGTTAAATAAAACGGAAATCCGCTCAAATTAAGAGGCTTGGTTCTTGGTTTAAGTTTAAATCTGATTGAATCAAGAGTATTTTTTCTTGTCGATGATTTTAAGAGTCTGGACTCTGGATCCAATGTGTTTTTTTTTCCAGTGTGTGGACAGCTCATGGTGGATCGAGTCAATTGGAGAGGTCGGACGAAATTTGGAAACTTTAAACGCTTATAACTCCACCTATACAAAAATTTGAGGTTCTGAAAGTGATTCCATTGGTTATTTGTCGTGAAATTTTCTTCTCTCACCACCCCTTGACATTTAAAATGTGACGAAATAAACATCAAAATTTGCAGCTTTGGTCAAAAATTTCATGTCCGACCTCTTTAATCGAATCGATCTACTGTGCGGCAGCCGTAGAGATACACTGGGAAAAAAACACATTGGATCTAGTGTCCAGACTCCTGAAAACATTGACAAGAAAGAGTACTCTTGATTCAATCGGATTTCTGCTTGAATCCCAACGAAATCCGCTTAAATTAAGAGGTTTGGTTCTTGATATAAGGTAGATTATGATTGAATTGAGAGCACTTTTTCTTGTCCATGTTTTTAAGAGTTTGGACTCTAGATCCAATGTGTTTTTTTCCAGTGTAAATAAAAAAAAATTAAGTAAAGTAATGCAAGTAGATAGCTGTAGTTGCCGCACGGAGTATACGTCAAATCAGCGAAAAAAGAGGGTATAATAATGAAATATTGACAGGCACGCTGGCAGAATGAGAGCAGAGGTCCATGAACCTAGACGAAGATCGGATATAAGGGACTCGAGGACTGCAGAGGCAGACAATCCGAGGGCTCCGCGCAGAAGTAGATCTTGGCCGCCAAGTGGTAAGTTCGTATCGGCTTAATTTTTACGGCAGCAAATTTTCCGCTCGAAATCACGGTAAATTATCTTTAGTGGGCAAAGACATCAAAGTAGAAGTGCCATCAAAATGTAAACATTTGAAATATAAGGAAAATTAGCGAATAATAAGCAAAACAATGGACCACTAGACAAGATACGAATTTAAGCAATGTGATACATGTTTCTTTACCAGAATTTCACGAAGAACACGATTCGTGCAACGAAAATTTTCGAAACCAATTCCTAACGAAGATATTAACGTTTTTATTTCACATTGGTTCCGAGGAATTTGAACTGCCCGCTCACAAGAAAGTCAAACCTCTACTTGAGTCAAATCGTGCACCACAACGGTTTCAGCAAGCTTCTCAAGCGAGCAATGTTCATTTCCCACCATGTGTTTTTCAAACTATAAGTGATTTGCTATATAGCTGAGTCAAAGCGTCAAAATTGAGGTTGCCAGCTTATTATTTTGCAGACCGCGTCACGGTGCCGGACACGGGAGCTGTCAGCAATAGATTTCGGGTGCAGATTGCAAAACGACGGTGGTGGCGCGACTGCGGATTGCACAGGAGTTAGGGCGCTCCGCGAGAATATATGAACAATACCTATATGAAGCGTGTGGCTCATTTTAGAACTTTGACTTTTAGAAGTTTTCTTGTCCGAACTGCGGGCCGAACGCTGCCTTTTTTTAACGGTATATTACAGAGAAGTGCAGATAAAGGGGAATTGTGTCGATATAAAAGAAGGGGCAGTGGACTGATTAATCGGAATAACTGGTCAAACAGTGGTTGCCCATTTTTGAGAGTGATTCTTTTCGCTCTAAATGTTTTTACTCTTTTCTTTAGGCCTTGTCTCCACGGGCCGTTTCACGAGATTTGTCCCAGCGTTAAATTCCGCTTACGAAGTTGAGAAAAAAATATTGAGTTAATCAATATTTTTCCCAGTACCAAGTATGGTACTTGTACCCCTATAGGACCCACTGAGAGGAGAGGAAGAATTGAAACGAATTGTGCGATATTTTTATTCATTACTCCATTGTTAATGTTTGTTTCGTTAAAATAATGTGTATAATTGTCAATTGAGTGCAATTAATATTTTAATCCCGGTTAAATACTCGACTTTATCTAATTTATCTTCTCGCACAAACTAGTCGCAGGACTGTATGAGCCTCGTCCCGTGGAGACGGTAACTGGGAAAAATCCCAGAAGTTTCATTCCTGCGATTCGAACTTGGGGCAAATCCTATGAAAACGTCCCGTGGAGACAAGGCCTTACCTTTCTCCTCTTGTATTTTAATCCCCCTAAGTTGAGAAAATGACAATTCTATATCTACCAGCAATCCCCCCCCCCCAATCACGTCATCGGGACACCCATCAAGGACGCCATAGACTCATCCGTTGATGACGTCATGGAGGCACCTGTCGATGACGTCGATGGAAACGAGTCTCGTTGATGACGTCATGGAGTCATCCTTGGATGACGTCTTGATAATGGCATTTTGAGGTCACATCCAGGGTACCAGTTGATGGTGACGTTACAACACAAACCATAATTCATGTCTATACATTTATTGCTAATTAGTTTTTGATGAGTCAATATTTTCTAAATTTCTAATTTTTAATAAATTGTACGCTTCATATATAAAACCTACTTTAGCATGTACAGCATGAACTTGTTTTGAATCCCCCGCCACCTCTTTTTAAAAGTCAGAGAGTTTTTAGAATCTTGTCCATCTGTATTACAGGTCGTCAATTTTTACAGCCCACAAGCTGTTCGTTAGTTCCTCAGATGTCCGATTCAATTTAGAGATTCGATTCTTCAATCCCGCGGCCAAAGTTTGTTTACATCTAACGAGCGCCCTAACTCCTGTGCAATCCGCAGTCGCGCCACCCGTCGTTTCGCAATCTGCAGTGTTTAGCGCGCGATGTGATTCACGTAGAGCATTGAGTTTTCTTGAGCGGGTGGTTTGAATTCACGCATCAAAAATCATTTAATGTCTTCGTAAGGAGTTGATTTCGGTAATTTTTTCTGTGCGCATCGCAATTTACGTGATATTTTGTTTAAGAAACCTGTATCAGAATGCTGCAATTCGTACCTTCTTTAGTGGTCCATTAAAGGTGACTTTTACAATTCAATGCATCACATTCCATGAATATTTAAAGGACTTAAAATTTAGTTTGCATGTCCAACGTGCAGATGTCGCAGGCAAATAGTCAAGTCAAGCATTTCATCAATTTCAAAGGCAGATAGTCAAATTTTGATGATTCACAAAGACTTGTGTGTTTTCGACGTGGAACTGTTAAGTTTCCGTTGTCTTGAAAGTAATAATTCATCAAAACTACCAACTTATCTTGTACTTTGCCCTCCAAATGCTCCTCAAATATTTTAACTTTCAGAATTTTAAAAAGTTGATTTTATATGACATGCTGAAAATCCCGAGATGAAAGCTCGTTTAAGGACTAGATTTAATTTATTTACAATTGTATGATGCCAATTATTACAGAAACTCCTAATCAACTTTAGAGAATAATTATTTTGTCTAAAATCAGCAAAAAATCCAATCCAAGTAAGATTATTTGACTACTTCCCTAGGCATTTTACAAAATACCAGGGCCGGATTTACCTACTTGCCGCCCATGGGCCGCCTCTGTATTTTGCCGCCCTCTTCTCATTCGTTTTGAAATATCAATAAAAACCATCAAGTGATCGTGCCGGAAGGGGAGGAGTGCATAGGAAGCGTTCTCCTACTCGTGGAATACATTTTCTGCGAAAGCCCTGTCAACACTACTAGCTAAATTTCACGGAACTTTGTGCGGAAGTTAAGTTCCGTAAACATATCTCTGTGTGAACAAGGTCCTCCGTTCATAATAATTGAACCAAAAAATTGAAAGAACAAACATGAATGTGGTTTAATAATTTTAACTTCCGCCGCACAGTGCAGTGTCCTTATGGCGGTTAGGGACAAAAATCATAGCTCGAAGACAAAAGCAGATAGAGGAGTGAAATTTGGTTTTGGAGGTCCTGAACATGTAGGCTATCGTTGGATGAGGTCAAATTTTTCGAGTGACACTTTGGGGAGGGGGCGGAAATAGTGATAATTTAAGGCGAGCGTTTGGGTGTTAGAGACTGAACTCATAGATTGAAGACGAAAGCAGATAGAGAAGTGTAATTTGGTATGAGGGGTCCTCAGCATGTAGCCGTTATTTAAATAAGGTCTAATTTTTCGAGTGACACTTTGGGGAGGGGGAGGGGGGCGGAAGAAGTGCTAGTTTAAGGCGAGCGTTTAGGTGTTAGGGGCCGAACTCATAGCTCGAAGACGAAAGCAGATAGAGAAGTGAACTTTGGTATGAAGGATCCCAAATATGTAGGTCATCGTTAGATGAGGTTTTTTTCGAGTGACACTTTGAGGAAGGGGGCGGGGGCGGAAGTAGTGATACTTAAAAGTGAGCGTTTAAGCGGTCGTTACAAACATCGTAGCTTGAAGTCAGAAGCACAGAGTGGCGAAATTTGACATGAGACTTCTTATTGATATGGGCCATTGTTGAATGGGGTCAAATTTTCCGAAAGTCACTTATTTGCGGGCCGGG